TTTTTTTACACGAGACTCAGTCCAAACAACAAAATGAATCAACAATACTGTATACAATTCTATAAGCAATCATCATTTAAAAATGTTAAATAAGGTACACCAAAAAATTAAAATAGTTTTCCCCATTTTCACGCAACTCGACTTTCGTAACTCACAACTGGACTTTTGTAACTCGCAACTCGAATTTTGTAACTCGCAACTCGACTTTTGTAACTCGCAACTCGACTTTAGTAACTCGCAACTCGACTTTCGTAACTTTTGTAACTCGCAACTCGTTACTCGACAACAAGTGAATCTCAAAATTCAAACCCTTAATAAAACTTTAATTTCATCCTCAGTTAAAGAAACTGTTGACAAATTGACAACCGTGTTGTAGGTATTGACCGGAATTTGACTCTTTCTATGAAATCTACGGTTGCGAGGCTTTTTAGTTGAATTTGAAGGTCTGTTTAAAGGTCCGAATGCAACTAAATTTGAAGGTAAAGGGACTTTGGGAAAAAAAAGTCACAAATTGCCAGGTTAGGGCCTTAAACCTGAATTTGTGCTATTTTTAGCTTTTTTCCACCCTTACACTATAAAAATAAGAAGATGTGATATAATTGCCAATGAGACAACTCTCCACCAGAGACACCAGAGACGAAATGACATAAAAGTTAACAACTATAGGTCACCATAAAGCCTTCAACAATGATCAAACCCCATACCACATAGTCAGCTATAAAAGGCCCCCAAATGACAAATGTAAAACAATTCAAAAGAAAAAAACTAATGGCCTAATTGTACAAAATAATGAACGAAAAAACAAATATGATATACAGCAACAGATGACAACCACTGAATTACAGGCTCCTGACTTGGGACAGGCACATACAGAATGTGGCGGGGTTAAACTAGTAAGATGGTGCCAAACCCTCCCCCTAACCTGGGACAGTGGTGCAACATCACAACACAAAAACACACTATACAAAACATAAACGAAAAACAAATATGATAAACCGCAACAAACAACAACCACCACTCAATTACAGGCTTCTGACATGGGACAGGAATATATAGAATGTGGCGGGGTTGAACTAGTTTGAAGGCACCAACCCTCCCCTAACCTGGGACAGTGGTATAGTAACAGTACAACATAAGAACAAACTATAAAATTAGTTGAAAAGGGATTTTTATAGCTGACTATGCAGTATCGGTTTTACTCATTGTTGAAGGCCGTACGGTGACCTATAGTTGTTAATTTCTGTGTCATTTGGTCTCTTGTGGAGAGTTGTCTCATTGGCAATCATACTACATCTTCTTTTATATTAACTCATCAGATCGATACAAGGCCATAATACATCTAACAAAAACACAGACTGGACATGGCAGGGTACTTATACATCCCCACAACAAACAAGACACTAAGTTCAGATCTGAGAGTATTCGCAGTTAAAGACAGCTAGTTCAAAGCCAATAACAACTAATAAAAAAAATCATGCATCTAAGACAGCATGCATATAAAAAATGTCTGGAATTGTTATCAATGCACAGTAAGTTGTTTCTGTGATATTAAACAGTAAAACACAGGTTGTTTACTGCCAAAAAAAATTGTTCACATGAAGATTGATCATTTCATGAAATTATTTGATTTTTACCCGTTATATTATTGCGTCATTCCATGTATTTGGTAAATAGAATAGTCTAATGTAAAAACTAAATAAATACACCCCAATTCCATAAATTGTCTCAAATAAAAGTTTTCTACCTTAAATATTATTGACTTATAGTAAATGAAAAATGTCTCGTGACCATAAATGTATTATTGATAAATTAATGGTCCATTACTGATAACTGATGAAAAAGGGGGGTCAATATTTCTTGACACTTTATTACCTATGATTTTATAACTAAACTCAATGTAAAAGTTGTAAAAAGACTTTAAAGCAGTAGGAAAATTAAATGTCATAATTACAGTCAGTTTAAATTGAGCTTTGAATTTTGCAGATATAAGTTGCATTAATATAAGATATGGTTTTATTTACTACACATTGGCCAAGGATTAAGAAAAAGGCAAAATAAAGACTTCTGATTATGTCTTTTTAGGTGTCAGACCACCAATTCACCCACTTCAATTTAGAACATATGTAAAAGTAGCCCTTTCCTGACAAAAAATAGTGCTTTTGATGTCATGGTTTACTTAAACTAACAAACAAATTTGAAGAAATGAAACTTTTGATGAAAGAAAAATATAAATAGACCATTTTGAGCCAAAATTTACTTGTCCATGATTTTGCATTAAAGACTGGGGATTCAAGAAAATCGGGCGTTATTTTAGTAGCAGTTTATTTCCGACCAGTGGTTTTTCATTACAAGACTTTAAATATTGGTTCAAAATTGGAATGTAGAAAGGTGATGCATGTACAATTCTATACCTGGTTTCGGTGAGGTTAAACTTAAGGTAAAATATATTTCAAAAGCTGTGAAAATTGAAAAATTTTGTTGATTATATAGGGGTTTTGAAATTGTGGTCTAACACCTGTGTGGCATATGTGTTGAAAAAAATGTTTTTAATTGCTGTTGTAGACCCGGAGATATAAAGGTAGTCTGTCTAATTGAGTTTGGGAAGATCTTCTTTGGCTCAAATGGTTAGAGCGCTGCCTTTTGTTCCCGAGATTGAGGGTTCGAATCCCGCTGGTACCATCAGTGAATTTTCACAACTTAGGCGCTGTGAGCATCTACTACTGGTACACACGAGTGTATGTAATTGCCTGGCAGTTAGATGTTAGAAATGGTCTTGAGGTTTGACCAGGTTATAGGATGACGGTGACATGCAAGAGACTGGCTAACCTGGTCCGCCATTCCATCTAAAGCTCTGCCCTTCTTTGCATGGCTCAATTGGTTAGAGCGCTGCCTTTAGATCACAAGATTAAGGTTTCAAATCCCGCTGGTACGGGCAAATAGGACACTTGAGCGAAAATAAAAAATGCACATAGGATCATTTGAGCGCCGATATCATAGGACATTTTAGCGCCGGAATGTTAACCTTATCTGGATTTTCATATAGGACGTTTGAGCAAAATTTCCTGTGATACTTTTATATGAATTAAGAAAATATTTTTAAAAAGTAAGAAAAAAGAGTTAAGTTTTTAATAAAAATGTTTTATTTGATTTTACACCCAAGTTATTCGACCGGTTCTGGCTAGTTAATGGTAGGAGTAGTCCTGAGTTGATCTCTACTTACCAATCAATTCTACTATAATTCATTGGCTGAGCAAATTTTCTTTGTTCTAAAATTCTTATATATATAAAGTGAAATGTCCATTGGCACTTGAGATCTCAATACTAATAAATGTACATGTTAAAATAGACATTATTTCTAAAAAAAATTGGCTCAAACGTCCTATACTTATTTTTTATTTTCGCTCAAATGTCCTAAAATTTCGGCGCTCAAACGTCGTTTTTTTATCGCTCAAATGTCCATTGTCGTTGGAACCATCCATGGATTTTCACAACGATGCATTGGTTCATGCAATATTTATATATTTATTTCCCGTACCTGAGGGAAATATGAAGATTTGTTCACCCTTGAAAATCGCCCGAGGGAAATATGACTTTTCGAGGATTAACAAACCTTCATATCTCCCTAAGCGAAGGCAAATAAATGTTTTATTCCATGGCCTAAACTTTTTATAACTTCATGAGCATAAAATATTAATTTCTATACATTTTTTATGTCCGCTTTTATAACATAAACATTGATAAGCAATGCCATAATATGACTTGTAGTTCCTCAACAATGATTGATTAATTGTTAGGTAACGTCCAGTGGCAAATATTCTATGCATGTTCAGGACAAGAACAAATTAACAATACATACAATAGGTATAGGTCCTGTAATGGGGTATGACCAGGAAAAAGGGCTGAAAATTTGGACTTCCACCAGAAAATGAGGGTAAATTGAAACTATGATGGACAAAAAGTGCACAGTTTTACAATTATTTTCACAATTCTGCAATGATGTCATTCAAGTGCACAGTGTTACAATCATTTACACGATTCTGCAATGATTGTATTCAAGTGCACAGTTTTACGATTATTTGATAATTCTCATGGCAAAGATTTCATTCCGGAAGTGCACAGTTTTACAATTATTTGCACATATCTGCAATGATTTAATCCAAGAGCACAGTTTTACAATTATTTGCACAAGTATGCAATAATTCAATTCAAGTGTATGATTTTAGAATCATTTTCTTAATTCTGCAATGATTTAATTCAAGTGCACGGTTTTACAATTATTTGCACAATTCTGCAATCATGTATTTTTACACTTTGTTGTTCAGGTTGTTGTTTTCAGCTACACCTCTGTCCCACTAGGGGGAGTGTTGTGTGTCAACAAATATATTCGCGAATATTCTCTTTTATATTGTTTAACATCGTGTCTTACCGGGGCCTTTTATAGAAAAATGAAAACAACACTTTATAACATGACTCGATGTGTTGCGTCCAAATTGCTTTTCGGGATTTACATTCATCAGGAACGCTTATACCAAAAAATGTGTTACCCAAGGATATTTTTTAAAGTACTTACACATAGCTTACTATTTATGGGTTAGGTTTTCTCATTGTTGAAGAACGCATAGTGTTCGCTTCTTTCTACTTTGAATTTGGCCTTTACAAATAATATCATTGACAATCATAGTACCACATCATACTTTTTAATGAGTTAGTATTACCAAAATATTTGTTCTCTAAAATCTGCACAAATGTGCAGCTGAAACGTCATTATGCACAATGAAAATTATCAAATTGTGACGGCAAACAGATTTTTCAGTAAAACATTTGAACCCCCTCCCCCTTTTTCATTTCTTTTCAAGTCCCCGCCTACCCCTCTTTCAGGTTACAAATCATCATCTCAATTTTATTTGCCTTTCAGAATAGTTAAAATAAAGATTTTGAAGCATTTTTAAAGAAGAAAGGTTTTGAACACAAGTTGACAAATATTTTTTTGCTGTCTTAAAGGGAGATAATTCATGTTGTAAATAGAAATGTCAAAAGAAAAGGTAAATTTAAAAGAATGAGTTTTGCACGATCACAAACTATGACAATGTGCTGCAAATAATTATCTTTTACTAACCTGTTGATTTGTTTATGAGGAGCAATGGGGATTTGATACGTAAAAAGTTTTACGTAATGATTCAAATGGCAAATATTATTCTGCTCGACATCGGATCATCTGTTCGTACCATCTGCTCCCCTGCCCACTTCCTGGGCGATAGTGACAATGTCCAAAGCATTGTTTACAACCAAAGAAAAAACCCAGACTTTATTAAAAACTCCATTTACCTAGCTAGTTGATGGGAAATTCATAACAAAAACAATTAACAGATTAGCAGATTAGGGTATCGGGTCTGTTTGCGCCCAATACACGTTTGCACCCTACACGTTCGTACCCCACACGTTCGCCCCATGCGTCCGTTCGCACCCTACACATTCGCACCCTTTTTTTTATTTCAAAAACTTGATGAATTATTAGATGTTTATATCAAAATATATTTATTTTCATAAATAAAAATACAGGAATTTTTAAATGAAATATTGTTTTAAATTGATTTGATGATTTTTTTTAAAAACAACAATCACGATTTTCAAACACATAACAATAACACTAAGATTAGCTGTGTAAACACCATATTAACAGTAATCATACATAATTAACATATAATAATTTTCAACAAGTTTTGATCAGAGACATATAATACAAGAGATTTGCAACTCGGCGAAATCCCGTAATAACACGCTGCCACTAGGTAAACCTCGCGAGATCTCCTTAGGTAATAGAGTCATTAATAAAAGTATTAAAAGTACTCGAAATAAGGACGAATGTTTAAGCATAACATAAACTGTTTCAGTGTTAAATTTATCATAATTAATTAAATATAATTTGAGTACATATATAATTATTTATTTTAATGTAATTTTGATTTTAGATTTGTATTATTGATAAAGAGACATAATTTGATATTGTATAAAAAAAAAACTGATATTAAATAATTAACACTTGATGATAAATTGTGTCAGAGTTCATTTTTATTTGATAGTTACATAATGGGTTTCTATTGAATATACACCTGTCTCGGAGACATAATTTCACAGTGTGACATGTATATTAGGTTTGAATTATTCGATGACCAGGTAAATCACGAACGTGTTATAAATAATGAGTTTTAATTGACACCTTGTAAACAAGAAGTTGTCACACCACAGGTGTCCACACTCTTTCCAAAAATACAAGTCACAAAATGTATAATTAATTAATATGGAAAAAAACTTAATTTATTTGTTAATTAATTGTTAATCATGATAGGCTTTGTTTTTTATTCTTGATATTTATAAATTATTAAAATTTTATTTATTTTTATATTCCTCATTTATTGGGCTTTCATTGAGTTTTTTTTCTGTAGGATTGTCGGTAAATGTTTGATTTCTAAGTGTTGTTTGACAGTTTTATCATATAGGCATGCATTGAGTTGTTTTTTTAAATGATTGTCGGTAAATTTATGGTTTCTTCATGTTCGAAGTGTGTATTGAGAATTAATATTTAAGAAAATTACAATTAATTTCTCATTTGAATAAAGCTTCATTCATGTGCACGCAATATGGAAAATTCCGATTTTATTTCGTGGGATGACAATCTTAATAGTTACGACTTAGATATACTCCTAGTTGAATAAACTGATAACGAACTCTTTGTTGATAGTGAAAAGGACGAAAACATAAGCGAGAGACCCACCAACAAAAACAATTGACAATACTGCATACATAGATGGATATGTGTGTCCTCGAAGCAACAAAAAATCTATAAAAAAACACAGGTCATACATCAAAGCAACACGGAAGACACTATTTAAAAAGTATTTTATAACCTTGTTTCCACGAGACAATCATTTGTAGTGGTTTTTGTCTTTTAATCATTTGTAGCGGTTTTTGTCTTTTTATTCTGGGGTAAAGAGATGGCAATTTAAAAGTAAGACTGTTTATGTGTATACATATACAAATCCTTGGTGTAAATAAAATCTTTTATTATTAAATGTATATATATATATATATATCTTTTGCAGTCACCATTGAAATGTCCTCAATACGATTTTAATTTAAAAATGAATAAGGTTCATGTTTTGAACGAGAAGCGTAGTCTGAAACGACAACAGATGCATATGAAGCTCATTCATAATATTACGACCAGCAGAAGGTTTCCTTTACTAGGAAAATTTTACTCCTTTTGTAAATTTACTGCATTCGTTCATCTTTGGCACCCTAAAAAGAAGAAAAAAAAACAATGACTTCAGAATAGGAGAAAATAAACAACTTTGCTATAAACAGAATGAAAAATGAATAAAATGTCTAACAAAATGCAGGCTATAAATTTCATAGTGCACAAAAAAAGAAGGACTGATTTAAGGAAATTTGTTATGAACAATTTCAATATTTAGCCAGTTTAATAAAAAAAAATTCGGTTATCAATCAGAAAAAATCACCACATTGTTGGATCAAATTTTACGAAAATAGTCTTATTTTCACGAAACAACATTTGGGAGTACTATTGGCCCATAAAATTATATATTTATTAGCATATTTTCAAGTTTTAAGAAAAAAATTGGGAGATCAAATGGTTTCTACGGCAATAGGTGAAGTAAAATGGGCTGAGTTTTAACTTTGTTTGTATTTGATTAATCTCATCATTAGAACACATTTTATCAATAACAAATTATTAGAATTAGTTTTTTGTAACTTTTAAATATACTTGCATGCTTTAGCTGTGAAAGGTATCGGCATTATCCATTAGAAAAATCGTGAGGCGTAGAAATACGGGTTCTTACCCATAAATCCATCGGATTAATCGGCTTTCCAGTGGCCACGTCATTTCATTGGCTGTTATATAGACTCTACTAGAGTTGCGAATCTTTTGTATTATATGTCTCTGTTTTGATGTAAATTCTGCATGTAGTTAATTAGCATGAATTTAGCTTAGTCATGTTGGTATGAGTAAAACAATGAAAATTCAAAATGTTGTTGTTGAGTTTAATAGCGGTTTGGTATCTTAACATTAAAAAAATATTTAACAAAAACCTTTTTAGAAAGTCGCTTTATTTTGAAACAATGGAATTTTTTTTTTATAGTGTAACGGGAGTGGAGTTTCCACTGGCTTCGTTTTCCCGTTGTCTACCCAAGTTCTGGGATATTGGACAACTAAAACCACGTAAATATAAACAAGATGTTTATTAAGAGACATATGTTATGGTTGAATATAAGTTACATACAAGAATAATAAAATATACGGTGGTGGCTAGTCTACTTGTCATTGTAAAGTTCCATATAAATTTCTGGGATATTGGACAACTAAAACCACGTAAATATAAACAAGATGTTTATTAAGAGACATACCTTATGGTTGAATATAAGTTACATACAAGAATAATAAAATATACGGTGGTGGCTAGTCTACTTGTCGTTGTAAAGTTCCATATAAATTTGCAAGCCAAACGGTATGAGCGTCTGCTCATTTCAAATCCTAAGTGTAGACTGCCCTGAACCCCGTGAGTGAAGTCATACTTATAGTTCCTAGGGACAACGAGCCCGGCCGGGCCGGATGTCAGGCACGTGCAAGAGGCAGGAAGTCCCGACAAGAATTATTACTTATTACATGGCCGGTCTCGGAAGAAAGAGTTACCCCAAATAAATAGAATAAAAAACAAGTAACCATAGTGACCACCATTACAATAGCAATACACTAAAACCAAAACACGATTAAGAAATATTCAACACAAAACACATCACTTTATTTTGAAACAATGAAAAAAATATTATTACAGCAATACAATAACAAAAACACGATTGAAAAATTGTTCAACACAAAAATCATTTTTAGAAAGTGACTTCATTTTGAAACATTATGAACAAAAAAAATATATAGCAATATACTAACCAAAAAACAATTGAAAAATTATTTAACACAATACCAATAAAAAGGGTGCGAACTGACCTGGGGTGCGAACGTGTAGGAGGGTGAACGTGAATGGGAGCTAACATGTTTTTGGGAGAACAACCCCAGATTCGCAGATTATTGACTTGTTGTGGGATCATATGTTTTCGTACGTCATATGAATTCATACCAAACATGCTTTTTCAACATGTTTAATGGAAATTATGATGTCACAATGCATTCTAAAAGCACGAAAAACCATATTTTAAGGATAATCCCTTTTGGGATTCTGAGTCTGGAGCGATTTGCTGATTTGTCTGAGGTGGCCAAATCAGAAAATCGCTCCGGACTCAGAATCCCAAAAGGGATTAATTAGTGACTATAATCTGAATCTTAAAAATGGAAAGCATCTTAATATTCCTAATGGTCAAGGACCAGTTGCCTACAGAAATTCACAGTTTTTCTCAAATAAATTTTATCAGGAACACTTTGGGGGAATATTGTTTTAATCTAAAAAGGGTTAACAAAAGTTACTTTTAACACAATAGATCCGGACTTTAATTTCTCCAAAAAATAACATAAACAAGGAAAAAACAGGTTACTGGTATGTGGAATCATTGCAGGAAATTTTAAAGTGTGATGACCATCACTGCAGAGTCACATTTAGACAGCTTGCCACCCCCTACATATACATATGTATGCGTTAAGATCGTAATAAATTCAAATAATTTAAAGGATTATAACTATAGTTTCTATATTTATAACTAATTTGATACTTATGTTGCTAAACATGATTCAAGATTGACGTCTGTACATATAGGGCATGTAGGATGCACATTTATAGTTTTCTTTCAGCTGTAAAAAGCAGTGACCTTGAACGATTTCCATTTTAAAATTTGAAATTTTTATATAAGATTTGATACAAGTGAACTATAGAGATGTTTTTAAGATGTTAACTAACATCTTATAAGGTGCCCTACCAAAAAATGTTGTTTTTTCCGTCTTTTGACAGAAGGTGTTAGCCATTTTCTGGGTAAATATCTAATTTTCTTTTTTCTTTTTGATGAGTGTGGAAGCACATTTAATTGTACTTTGTTCAAAAATTTATGTTATATTTATGCAGAATAGATTAAATTAGCAGTTCTGGGTATTTTTATGCCCCCGCCGTAGCGGCGGGGGCATTAAGTTTTTACCTTTGTCCGTCTGTATGTACGTACATCCCAAAATTGGTTTCCGTTCTCTAACTTGAGTTTGCCTCAACCAAATGTTATGAAACTTATACACAATGCTTATACCCCAAAACACAGATCAAGTTTGAAGTTTGGTGGCGTCACTTTAACCGCTCTAGAGTTATGCCCCTTTATAAATGGAAAAATTGCAAAATTTTAATTTTTTTCTAAATATCAAGTAATTTTTAAAATTGGAGTTATCTTCCTTTGTCCATGATTATAGTTGAATCAACTACAATCAATGCTTTATACAATGCAATGTTTAATTTTGACTTCCACTGATAAAACACAGATCAAGTTGAATTTGGGTAGTGTCACTTTAACCATTATTGAGTTATGCCCCTTTATAAATCGAAAGATTGCAAAATATTTAGTTTCCATTCTGTAACTTAAGTTATAAATTTGGGTAGCGTCACTTTTCCGTTCTTCAGTTATGTCCCTTTATAAATATATGATATGCAAGCGGGGGCATCATCTGTGTCCACATGTGGACACTATCCACATTCTTTAAAATTTTGCTTTATAGAAATAAAAAGCATACTGCAAATGATGAAAAAAGGTGTGGGGGTGTGTAAAAAATATGAAAACAAAATGTTAATTAGGAACAGATGAATCACTCTATCCTACACATTTATATGACTTATTGAGCAGAAATTGGCTTTGAAATTGACATCAGTTGCATAGAAGATTTGATAAAAAATGTCAAGAAGATTTGATAAAGCAATGTCATAAACAGTACAGAAACACACAGTATTGTGCAAACTGTCCAAAAATTTGAATGGAAGAAAAAAAAAGAAACATTTCGGGTCTATAAATAAGTGAACAGTACAAATCATGACCTTTGATTAACAATTCTGATATTAAAGTCAATGAGAAAAATTGAAGCAATAGTATATTTAAACTTTTTTTTTACTTTACAACAGCAATGAAAATATATTTGTATTTGTATATAAAAAAATACTGATTAATTATATTTTACACTTTTAAGGCTGATCAGCTGAAAGAAGAAGGAAACAAATGTGTAAAAGAAGGCAATTATGCTGAAGCTGTCCTCCATTACACACATGCTATCGGCCAAGATGGCCTAAACCATGTTTTATACAGCAATAGATCACTATGCTTTCTCAAACTTCATCAGTATTATTATGCCATGGAAGATGCTAAAGAAACCATTCAGCTGAAATCTGATTGGCCAAAGGTATTTTTTGGACAAGGTGATTTTATGTTGTATAACTTAGTTACTGTAATACTATATAACAAAATTGTACATAGTATGTCAATGAATTATTTTGTGTTAGGTTTAAACAAATTTAATACCTTCAGAAAGGGTTAACTACAATGTACCTTTAAGGTTATATTTAGCCATAACATTTTTTTCTTTGCAATTTATTTTCTAACAAACCGTCTTAGTAGTGTCATAGTAGTGATCATTTAGTGACATATATATATACAGTGACTTCTCTTCCTGCAGAGTTATCGCTTTTGAGTTTGTATGTTTAAATGTTATCTGTCTGTCAGTGCAGTACAGTCTTTTGCAAGGTCATACCACATTTATATGTTATGATTTTGAACAAACATGCAACATATATCCATTTGACATTAGTCAATCAACATTATATTATTAGGTCAGACCAAAGGTCTGAATCCATATAAATGTGGATGATTATTGATCAATGCATCATCAACCACCCCTCTTAATCCATCCAGCCAACAATCCAGACTGACAGACAGATGAGCATCTGGTAACAGTCAAATTAAAATGAATAGTTTCATATTTATTTTTGAACACAGCGTTTTTGGATACAAATATACACATTCAATGCTTTAATTTATGTCAATTCTATCAGAATATATTCTTCCTGAAATATTCATATTTTTCTGTATCTGCATATACATTACAGGCATCCTCTACATAGTACACAGTACACACCTATTAAACCATGTACATAGAAAAGATAACATGTATGACCAAAAATAAAAGACAGTACAGGTACAATAGACCATAAATCACCAGCAACAGACTCTTCTGAGATAAATAGATGTACAAACAAAGATAAATGTCCACAAATTAAACAAGTTTTACATGCATACAACACCTGTCTTATACTCTTTTTCCTTATGTATAACTAAAGCAAAACACACTATAAATACTGTAAATTCAGAAATTATTGCAATTTTCAAAAAAATGAAAACAAAACTTTATAAATTTCATGTGTCCGAAGCGCTTTTCTGGATTTATCTTCATTAGGAACACTCAAAGCCAAATATTTGAAAGCCAAGGATGTATAAGAACCGAAAAAGGTGAAGAGCTATATTACGAAAAAGGACCTAAAAAAATAGCCAAATCCATCTTTGGTCAACTTTGCCTGAGGGAGTTGAAACCTTAGTCTTTAATAACTTCAAAATTTAAGAAAGGACAAAAATGCAAGATTAATTATTGCGATTTCAGGAAAATCTGCATACATAAATAAATATTTATCTGATATCAGAATGCGAGTTCTTTTTATTGTCTTATCATCTAATAGCAGTATTTGCATAAATAAAAACCTAGCAACAATTTCTGAATATACTGTAATCTATACAGTCCATCTACCAACAGGATGAGTATTATCCTTAATAAAAAAAAACAGACAGAACATAATTTGGTTCAAAATGTGCTACTACAGACTGCTACATGTATCTTAGCTAGCTACAACTGCTGTATGAATATATGGTTTAGATATATTTTTATGCCACCGCCGTAGGGGAGGGGGCATTAAGTTTTACCCTTGTCCGTTCGTACATCCCAAAGTTGGTTTCCGTCTCTAACTTTAGTTTGCCTCAACCAAATGTTATGAAACTTATACACAATGCTTATTACCACTAAATACAGATCAAGTTTGAATTTTGGTGGCGTCACTTTTACTGTTCTAGAGTTATGCTCCTTTACAAATGGAAAAATTGCTAAATTTTTCGTTTCCGTTCTCTAACTTAAGTTTGCCTCAACCAAATGTTATGAAACTTATACACAATGCTTATTACCACAATATACAGATCAAGTTTGAATTTTGGTGCCGTCACTTTTACTGTTCTAGAGTTATGCTCTTTCCAATGGAAAAATTGTTAAATTTTTCTTTTTTTTATTTCTAAATATCAAGTAATTTTTGAAAATTGGAGTTATTTTCCTTTGTCCCTGATTATAGTTGAATCAACTGCAATCAATGCTTTATACAATGCAATGTTTAATTTTGACTTCCACTGATAAAACACAGATCAAGTTGAATTTGGGTAGAGTCACTTTAACCATTATTGAGTTATGCCCCTTTATAAATCGAAAGATTGCAAAATTTTTAGTTTCCATTCTGTAACTTAAGTTTGCCCCAACCAAACATTATGAAACCTATACACAATATTCATTACCTCAAAACTAAGATAATGTACAATTTTTTTGTTTCCGTTCTCTAACTTTAGTTTGCCTCAACCAAATGTTATGAAACTTATACACAATGCTTATACTACATAATACAGATTAAGTACGAAATTTGGTGGCAAGACTGTTACCATTCTTGAGTTATGTCCCTTTATAAACATAAAAATTGCTGAATTTTTCGTTTCCATTCTCTAACTTTAGTTTGTCTCAACCAAATGTTATAAAACTTATACAAAACCATTCTAGAGTTATGGGTGTTTACAAATAGAAAAGTTGCTGAATTTTTAGTTTCTGTTCTCTACTTAAGTTAGCCTCAACCAAATGTTATGAGACTTACACATGAGGCTTATTACCACAAAACTCAGATCAAGTTCAAATTTGGGTAGAGTCACTTTTACTGTTCTTCAGTTATGTCCCTTTATAACTATATGATATGCAAGCGAGGGCATCATCTGTGTCCAGATGTGGACACAATCCACATTTATTTTAAATCTAAATCTGTTTGATTTGAAAAGAAATAAAATATACACAGTGTATATCATGTATATGTGTAATTGGAAATGCAGATAGATATACATTTCATTTTCACACACAATTTCATGGTAGTTGAAAGTTTGATGAATGCCTATTTCACATACTACAGGCTTACCGGTATTATAATCAGCTCCTTTACACATTTTCAACTCCATACAATATAATAAAAAGTGACATTCAAAAGTTGGTAGTTTTATTAAGGGCTTGATTTATGGACACTAGACTGTTTTCCTGTCAAATAGGCTCCTATTCCACAAATTTAGATAGAGTTGATAAATTCCAGATTTTTTATAAAACGTAGTTAAATGGCAAAGATGTCTGTATCCTATATATATTTATTCAAGATAAAAAGGCATGAATTTAACAGACACTTTAAATGACATACAGATATAGCACTAGACCTGAATAGGATTTCACAGTTACAGACACTAAAATGATTTACAATTATGATCCCTAAAAATTATAATTTAAAAAATAAAATTATGGAAATTGTCATTATTTTGATATTTGACTAGATTGTATTAATTGATTAAATGGACTAGATTTTCACTGCAGCCTAATTAATACCTTAGGACGACCCACAAAAGTTAATGAAGCTTATTTCCAGTGGGGTCCTTTTAAGAAGAGACTATCAGTTCACACCAAGGTTGACACATATTACTAACAGAAATCACTTAAAATTATCACAGATAGAGGCTCTAAACCTGAGTAAAATTAATAAAAAACAAATTCACTATTAAAGATGGATTTAAATTTATCCATCAAAATTTTTTTACTTGTACTTGAAAATTATATTTCTTTGGGCAATTTTATACTATTTCTGGTAGCGAGTTCCAATCTTTTATTCTATTATAAAAAAAAGGTAGTAGATTCACGCCCTTCAATTACAGGTATATACAAATTCATGTTACTAGATCTTGTGTTGAAAGATGTTTCATTTCTAACAAAATTAGTATTCAAATAATTTGGGCATTTATTGTTAAAAATGTTGAAAACATGATTGAGTCTCAGTTGTTTGACTCTTTTATCTACCGGTATATTTAAAAAACCTTTTTTTTCAAATTCAATATACAGTCAGGATTCTACTTCATCAAAATTATCTCCCCATTACACCACCTAATTTTTATAATCGTAAAAATGGAAGCCATTGTAGTGATGACGCCCTGTCAATTTAGCTCTTGAAAACAGAAAAATTTATCCACATAGCATCATTACGATCCTTATATGCCAGTTGTATTTTAAAAGACAAATGTATCTACTAGCTATTAAGCATCATTTAATGTACTTTTATGCATTTGATCTACTTGAAACTATTGTCTGATCTGTTGTCAAGGGGAATTTTCGAAATTTCAAAAATATTTAAAAAAAAATCTAATTAAATATTTCGTGGAAGGGCAGACTAAAAAATTTCAGAGGTTGAAGACTAATTACCCTAGATAACACACACACAAAATGAAGTTTTTTTGAAGTTATGCATTTTTAAGATCCACTTGAAAAGTCTGTTGTCAAGTACTTTATGTAAAAATTTGTTATTCGAACACACCTACCCAGTTGTTATGATGCATTAGAAAGGTATTTCGCTTGACCCATATATTTTATTTTTAGTACTGTAAATTTTTAATGTTATTGTATCAACCTAAATATATAAAAATAATAGAATCTGATGCGAGATGATGTTTCCAATATTTTTCTTTTATAGGTTTTCAAGACAGAAAAGTCAACTCAAACACGCCTAAACATAAAAAGGTGTACTCGACTTTCTCTTTTCGATGAAATTATTGCCCATTTTGGGAATTTTTTCCCCAAAAAGTGTCGCCGGGGATAGAGATGCAAATAAATGCTTTAAAAAGATCAATCTATTATCTTTCTTTGGATTTTTTTTCAGCAGAATTGGTGCTTATGCACAAAAAAGATCCACATGTATTTGCGCCTACCACAATCGACTGTTTTGTGAAAATTTGTCCATAATTTAAAAGTTTACAAATATCTCGAAGCTCCATACCATAATTTAAGTAAAAACACATACATAAGATGCATAAAATCCTAAATAAGGCACTTTCATTAAATTTTTAAAGCCCATAGAAACAGATGTAAACAATTCAAATTTACCAACTTGGCCTTTTTTACTTTCTCTAACAAAGAGTTCCATTTCTTTTGTTTAATTTCATCTGGGTTTCCGTCTGATATGTCACACTTTTTCTAGGATGTAATTGCAGAATAAATCTCACAATCTTATTTTGTGCCACTTGAAGTTTATTCTTCATTTGTTTTGATATACCTTCATACCAGCATGCACATGCATAATCAAAATGACATTGAATCAGAGAAGAGCACAATGTTATCCTAGATTGAAACTCTATGTTTCTATTTAAAAATTTAAGCCTTTGATTAACTTTTTTCGCTATAGAATTGACAATATAGTCACCAATCAGAAACTGATCAATTATTATTCCCAAATATTTTACAAAATTTTTGGATTCAATATTAATATGATTACAAGAGATAGCAAAATCATTCCCGTATTAGAGACCAAAAATTATACTCTCCGTCTTTCCCAAATGTAGGGACAATTTATTGTCAGTTAATCACTCATGGCATGACTCCAGCATTCTGGATAATTTATGAGAGATGACCCCAGGGTCTATATGTATATATATTGAATAAAAAGTGATTTCAAAATATGTTTTCAATCCCATGTTTATTTTTACCTAGGGATTTTTCAGAAAAGGAGAAGTGGAATTTGCTGTTGGAAACTACACATTAGCTATGATGGCTTACAAGGTACCAGTTTCATCTAGTTTTACTCTCATGTATTTTCTTTTCATCATTACATATATTTGTAGTAAAACAATAGACCACATCAAATTACCACCAGCAGGCAACTCCTCTAAAATAAAAACACATACAAACAAAAACAAACAACAAACAACACAGGGTGCAGAAAGCCTGAATTAGTACAGACACAAAATGTGGTTGGCTTAAACCAGTGATGTTTTCATAATTACTTATTGCTGATTAAACCCATCCTCTCCATTTTTAGGGCAAAGATTGCATTCATCCAATCAAAGCCCTGATGTGGCTGGCTTGATAGATATAAATTTGTCCAGACTTTATCACTATTTTTGAGACAAACAAAACATAGTGCACTGAGCACAACATTCTGTACATCTGTCCATGACATTTCAAGAAATTCATCAATGAAATATATAATCAGATATTCAAGATACAAAATGATGTTTACCGAGTATGCATATAACCATACAAGGTCATGTTTTTCTCTGACTGTTTATGATGTCTTTACACTAAATCCATTGGATGTTGGATGTGTACGGATTGATAATTTAGCCTGAGATAGATATAAGAAGATGTGGTATGAGTGCCAATGAGACAACTCTCCATCCAAGTCAAAATTTATAAAAGTAAACCATTATAGGTCACAGTACGGTCTTCAACACGGAGCCTTGGCTCACACCGAACAGTAAGCTATAAAGGGCCCCAAAAAATTACTAGTGTAAAACCATTCAAACGGGAAAACCAACGGTCTAATCTATATAAAAAACGAGAAACGAGAAACACTTATGAACCACATCAACAAACAACAACTACTGAACATCAGATTCCTGACTTAGGACAGGTGCAAACAAATGCAGCGGGTTTATACGTTTTAATGGTACCAAACCTTCACCCTTTTTCTGAAACAATAGTGTAACATCACAACATAGAAAGACCCACTATAAAATATCAACTGAAATAGATTAACTCAATCAAAGGACATATTAACACCATTGAACATACACTGAACAAATAATATTGACCTATGACACAATGTAAATACAAAATAAATAAACTAAGGGAAGAATGATAAAAGTAACATGTTATATCTGTAAGAAATGTTAAACAATTAAAGAAAAACAATATGCTCGAACAAAAATACCATCCATTTGCAATAACTTTAAACACAGGTAAATGAAAATAATTTTGTTGTTAGGTATACCTGTACAGTACCAATAGAGAAAGGAAATATTTTTACAAAATAAATAATTTTGAATACAAAATAAATAAACTAAGGGAAAAATAATAAAAGTAACATGTTATATCGGTAAGAAATGTTAAACAATTAAAGAAAAACAATATGCTCGAACAAAAATACCATCCATTTGCAATAACCATAAACACAGGTAAATGAAATTTAGATGCATGATTTTTTTATTAGTTGTTAGTGGCTTTGAACTAGCTGTCAGTAACTGCGAGTACTCTCAGATCTGTACTTGGTGTCTTTTTGTTGTTTGGATGTACAAGTACCCGGCCACGTCCACTTGTAATTGTAGTATTTGTATTTTTATCCATCTGATGAGTTAAGCCTCTTTCAACTGATTTTTATAGTTCGTTCTTATGTTGTACTGTTACACCACTGTCCCAGGTAAAGGGAGGTATGGGATCCCGCTAACATGTTTAACCCCGCCACATTCTGTATGTATGTGCCTGTCCCAAGTCAGGAGCCTGTAATTCAGTGGTTGTCGTTTGTTTATGTGTTACATATTTGTTTTTCGTTCATTTTTTGTACATAAATTAGGCCGTTAGTTTTCTCGTTTGAATTGTTTTACATTGTCATTTCGGGGCCTTTTATAGCTGACTGTGCGGTATGGGCTTTGCTCATCGTTGAAGGCCGTACAGTGACCTATAGTTGTTAATTTCTGTGTCATTTGGTCTCTTGTGGAGAGTTGTCTCATTGGCAATCATACCACATCTTCTTTTTTATATTGTCAAGAAAATTAAATAAATTGGGCATGGTGCATGAATCTATTGTCTGTTCTGAAATAATCAATGATGTCATAGTAAAAGTTATATTTATTATACCCCCGCTTTAAAAAAGTGGGGGTATACTGTTTTACCTCTGTCTGTCCGTCCATCCATCCGTCCCAGGAATATTTTTCGTCGCATTTTTCTAAGGTACATGTTGTACTACATTACAAGGATTTCTGAAATTTGGTTTCAAGGTTTATATGAGTGAGCTATCCTGTGTGATGCGTTTTCAGATTCATCACTCAACAACTTCCTGTTTACCGAACACTTACATATTTTTATACTATTAAAATTATCCATATTTGGGTGGGGGTATCATCAGAGAGCAGTAGCTTGCAGTTTCACTTGTTAAAATTTGAATTATCTTCTTATCTTCTTTTGTCCATAATTGTAGTTCAACCAACTACGATTAAAAACCAATTCATAGTATAGCCTTACAATGCTTAAAACAATGCAGTGTTTAATTTTTAGTTCACACTGCAAAATGAATGCAATCATTGGCCTTCAGTGACCGCAAGCACTTTGATTATATGTATTGTAGTAGAGAGGAAGAATATTAAGACTCATTCTATAGCCCTGGAAGTTTCCAAATTCTTGAAATCTGTCAAAATTTTGTTATTCTCTTGATAAATAGATAATAAGATATGTTAATAGTGTATTTGACAGTGTTTGATGCCACAAAATTATTTTATTAGTATTATTGGAAGAAAACCTTTGATGCTTTTTCATTTCAAAAGCTGATTGCTTTAATCTTTAAAAAAAAAACTATACTGATAAAACATTCATTTGAGTGGTAATGATGTTTAATTGTATAAGTTGTTATGATATAGATATATGTGTAATTCCTTTATATATGTTTTATCAGTGGATCTACATTATTGAATTCCTATTTTAACAGCAAGCTGAATTAATTGATCCTACAGACCAAGGAATTAAAGTTGCAATGTTAAAAACAACAAAAGAAGTAATTAGAGTAAGAAAAGGTAGGATAATTTGTTACTTTACGCCAGTTCACAACTCATGAATTTACTTTGGTTTATTTTCTGTGGAATACACAATTGACAATACCTAACTCATGAATATATCATTAAATAGGACAGCCTTGATTTAATATAAAAAAGATTTGAAATTTATTTTTATACGAGGAGGTAACTTATGATTCTTAAAATTTAAATTGAATTGTATTGTGAATTTACATCTTTTGTTATTTGTCAAAAAAAAAGCTTGGTAACTCCCACTTTTTTTTCATTTTCTGAAAGTATTTAATGAAAACTATCTCCTTAAACTTTTCATCTAGTTTTCTTTCAGATAAAATAATTGTGTTTCTGCTACAAAATGTATTAAAGGGGCATTAGCTACGAGATATAAAAAAAAATCAAAAGTTGATGGGTTACGCATGAACTAGGCGTGTTCAGCTATTAAAAGGAAAAGAATGTCAACATCGAAAGTGAAACAAGGGTAAATCATTTGATTGACTGATTCGATCCACACAAACTCATTCTTATACAGGTAAAAACGATGATTAACATATTTGTTTTAACCTATAATATGAAATCAAACAGATAAAGAAAAATCCAATTGCACATGCTCACTATCGATTGATATCTATATTTATTTTTATATCAGGTTATATGACCGTCGGCAGTCTTCAGAGGTCACCTCAATGAATAATTAGATGGTGTCTAGACTAAAATACACACAAAAATTGTTAATTGTTCATTTTAGACTTTTTATAAGTTGGATATAAGATTTAGTAGGTTATAAATCAAATATGAGAATCTGAGTCAAATCAGTGAACATGGATTTGACAGCTAATGCCCCTTTAAAGAATTTTGCACTACTTGTAGATTAAAAAAAATTTGGTGCCATGGTATTTCTTATATTTTTTAAAGTAGTGTAAAATAAATATAAAAACAAGGAGATATGGTATGATTGCCAATGAGACAACTATCCACCAAGGTTAAAATAAAGTGGATGTAAGCAATTATAGGCAACTGTACAGTCTTCAACAATGAGTAAAATCCATACCACTTATTTTAGAAAACTATAAAATTCCTTATGAAACCTTCAACCTATTTTCTTTTAAAATTTTATTATGTTGGTACTGATGACAGAATGGAGGTCAAATTCGATATTGATGAATTTCACTTTTGTCATCCAGGAGTCATGGTCATGATGGTTCTTGATTGATTGAAAATGGCACTTTATATCGTTTCCGTGCAATATGGTCCTTGATTGATTGAAAAACATGCATAAGAGATGGCAGGTCAAAAAAGTCTGAAAGTGCCTTTCAAAATACAGAAAAACTTGTTTGCTGTCAATTTGACAGCTCATTCCTTGTTATTGCTTTCACTCACCTTGATCTTAAAAAAGATCTGCTTTTATAATTTTTGCTTAATATTGGATTTTACTTAGCTAACTAAAAAAAAACAACTACTATGTACATTGATAAGAAATGTGGCATTCAACATGAAAATGGTCAGTTGTCTATTGAACTCCTGTTTTTCACAAAAATACGTAAATTTGTGGGCATCACTATTCAAAAGACAATGTACCCAATAAAAACAATTTACAGTGGCAGATCTAGAAATAGATTTCTCAACTTATTCACACATTTTGTAAACTAAGGAGAATTTAATGCTTGACTTATTGTACAGAATCGTGTTAATCCATTTCCATGTTTATTTTGGTCATTACTTTATAGAGGAAAGACGTCAACCATGGTTGTATGGTGGAGGTGGACTACTTATAGGTTTTATTATTGTACTGGCAGACCAGTTCCTTGCAGATAATCCATCAATAAAAGTATATACTCTTATTTTATACACACAGTACTGTTATTGCTACAAAATTTACTACCAATGGATTAAACAGAATCATTTTTGTCCTCCGCGCTACGCGTTGCGGGGAACATAAAAATACGGGGCGTCCATCTGTCAGGTATTGTTAGCACTCTCACGTTTACAATTCTTGCCAGATTTTTATGAAACTTATTTCATAGTTTTATATCAGCAATGTCTTGGACGAGTTCGAAAATCAGTGCTGATCAATTATATTTAAAAGAATTATGCCCCTTGGAAACATTAATTATATGGAAAATTGCATCGTTAGCGCTTTCATTTGTTCAGTTCTTGACAGATTTTTATGAAACTTATATCATAGGTTCATATTAGCAATGTCTCGGACAAGTTTGAAAATCAGTGTCGATCAATCATTTTTAAAAGAGTTATGCCCTTTGGAAACATTAATTATATGGAAAATTGCATTGTTAGCGCTCTCATATGTTCAATTCTTGCCAGATTTTTATGAAACTTATATCATAGGTTTATATCAGCAATGTCTTGGATGAGTTTGAAAATCAGTCCCGATCTATCTATTATTTTTAAAAGAATGAAACTTGAATCATAGGTTTATATCAGCAATGTCTTTGAAGAGTTCGAAAATCAGTGCCGATCAAAAATTGTTAAAAGAATTATGCCCCTTGGATATTTTAATTATATGGAAAATTGCCTTATGAGCCCACTAATATGTACAATTCTTGCCAGATTTTTATGAAATTTATATTATAGGTTTATATCATCAATGTCTTTGAAGAGTTCGAAAATCAGTGCCGATCAATTATTTTTAAAAGAGTTATGCCCCTTGGAAATATTGATTATATAGAAAATTGCATTGTTAGCGCTCTCATGTATTCAATTCTTGCCAGAATTTTATGAAACTTATATGATAGGTTTAAATCAGCAATGTCTTTGACACTTTCGAAAATAAAGTTCTGATCAAATATTTTTAACGAGTTCTGCCCCTTTGAAATATTAATTATAATGGAAATCACATTGCATTTGCTCTGAAGCCTTCATTTCTCTAAGATATTAATAAAAAGTCTTATAGAACCAAAAAAATGTGCTTTTTATTAACCGGATTTTCGAAGGAAATATCACTTTGCGTCCGTCGTCCGTCGTCGTCGTCTGGCGTCGTCTGTTAACTTTTACAAAAATCTTCTCCTCTGAAACTACTGTGTCAAATTTAACCAAACTTGGTCACAATCAGCATTGGGGTATCTAGTTTAAAAAATGTGTCCGGTGATCCGGTCAACCAACCAAGATGGCCGCCATGGCTAAAAAATGAACATAGGGGTGAAATGTAGATTTTGGCTTATATCTCTTAAACCAAAGCATTTAGAGCAAATCTGACATGGGGGTAAAATTGTTTATCAGGTCAAGATCTATCTGCCCTGAAATTTTCAGATGAATCGGAAAACCTGTTGTTGGGTTGCTGTCACAAAATTGGTAATTTTAAAAAAATTTTGCAGTTTTTGGTTATTATTTTGAATATTATTATAGATAGAGATAAACTGTAAACATCATAATGTTCAGCAAAGTAAGATCTACAATTAAGTCAACTTGACCAAAATGGTCAGTTGACCCCTTAAGGAGTTATTGCCCTTTATAGTCAATTTTTAATCATTTTTCGTAAATTTTTGTAATCTTTTACAAAAATCTTCTCCTCTGAAACTACTAAGACAAATTTAACCAAACTTGTCCGCAATCATCATTAGGGTATCTAGTTTAAATAATGTGTCCGATGACCCAGCCCGCGAACCAAGATGGCCGACATGGCTAAAAATAGTACATAGGGTAAAATGCAGTTTTTGGCTCATATCTCTGAAACCAAAGCATTTAGAGCAAATCTGACAGGATCAAATTGTTTATTAGGTCAAGATCTATCTGCCCTGAAATTTTCAGACCAATCAGGCAACACGTTGTTGGGTTGCTGCCCCTGAATTGGTAATTTTAAGAAAATTTTGCAGCTTTTGGTTATTATCTTGAATATTATTATAGATAGAGATAAACTGTAAACAGCAATAATGTACAGCAAAGTAAGATCTACAAATAAGTCAACATGACCAAAATTGTCAATTGACCCCTTAAGGAGTTATTGCCCTTTATAGTCAATTTTTTACAATTTTCATAAATTTTGTAAATTTTTACAAAATATTTTCCACTGTAACTACTGGGCCAAGTTCATTATAGATAGAGATAATTGTAAGCAGCAAGAATGTTCAGTAAAGTAAGATCTACAAACACATCACCATCACCAAAACACAATTTTGTCATGTCAGAATCCATCTGTGTCCTTTGTTTAATATGCACATATACCAAGGTGAGCGACACAGGCTCTTTAGAGCCTCTAGTTTTGAAAACTTGTAAATGTGCAAGCTCCCCACCCTGAAACCATATATATTCTTGTATGTTACAATAAAACAAATCAAATGAAATAAAAGGTGAGTCCCCTGGGGTCATCCCCTACCCGTTCTGTTTGAGAACTGGTAAATGTCGATATCCCCACCCCTAAACCACATATATTCTTGTATGGGACAATAAAACAAATCAAATGAAATATAGGGGAAGTCCATTGGGGTAACCCCCACCCCCTTCTGTTTGAGAAATTGTAAACGGTTGAGATCCCCACCCCTAAACCACATATATTCTTGTATGGGACAATAAAACAAATCAAATGAAATTTAGGGGAAGTCCACAAGGGTAAACCCCACCCCCTTCTTTTTGAAAACTTGTAAATGGTTGAGATCCCCACCCCTAAACCATATATAATCTTTTATAGGACAATAAAACAAATCAAATGAAATAAAAGTAGAGTCCCCTGGAGTAACCCCTACCCCCTTTTTTTGAAAACTTGTAAACAGTCAAGATCTCCACCCTGAAACCATTTTTCTTCTTGTATATTACAATAAAACAAATCAAATGAAATAAAAGTTGAGTCCCCTGGGGTCTGCTTTGTGATTGAGTTATTTTCCTTTGAACAGAAATTGTTAATTATATACATAAAGTTTGATTACACTAAGCCTTTATAGATAATTTTCACCTGTTTATATGTCCTGTAATCAGTTTACTAAACAAGTGGTTAATGTCTTATCTTGAGTGACAGATTTATTTGAAAATTTTCTGTTTTCTAAGTGTTGATGATTAAAAGCTATATAGTAGTAAATATAATTAGAAATTTACTGTTCATTATTAGACATTTTGAAGATAATTACAGATAAGTTTTATAGATTTTTAAAAGACATTGCATTAATGATAAATAAAATTTTTGATTTTTTTTTTCTTTACTTTGGTAAATTGTAAATTGTTTGTTATTCTGTAAAAACTAATTTTCTGAATGCTATATATATTTTTTTGATTAGGTGAACTCCTTTTAAAACTTAGCTTATATTGTCTATTAATAAACATATATTTAGATTTCTGATTTTGGGCCCAGTTTTCAAGTTGGTCCAAATCAGGGTCCTAAATTAAACTGTATTTGATTTCAACATAAATTGAATATATATAGGGTTTCTTTGAAATGCTGAATCTAAACTTGTATTTATTTTCATTATTAGTTAGATAATACCACATCGAGGTACTAAGGGTCCTAAATTAAACTTTTGTTTAATCAACAATTGAATTCTTGGGTTCTTTGATATGCTGATTTTAACAATGTTTGAGTGTTAAATCATATCTAATTTAAGAGAACTTAGTCATCACTGGTCGTTGTTATTATATTATTGATTATAATTTGAAAAATTACATTATATCTAATTTTATAGAACTTAGTCATCACTTTATTCATTATAATCATATCTATTTATCAAGTTTGAGTTATTTCCCTTCGCACAGAAAATATATGGATAAAATTAAATTGTGTGTCATTTCAACTTAAATTAAATATATATATATGGTTCTTTCAAATGCTGAATCTAGACCTGTATTTAATTATTAGATTTTTGGGCCCAGTTTTCAAGTTGGTCCAAATCAGGGTCCAAAATTAAACTTTGTTTGATTCACAAAAATTGAATTTATGTGGTTCCTTGAAATGCTGAATCTTACCATGTATTGAGAGATTTTGGATTGTGAGCTCCTTTATCAAATTGGTCCACATTGTGGTCCAAAGGGTCCTAAATTAAACTTTTGTTTGATTTCATTAAAAATGAATTTTTGGAGTTCTTTGATATGCTGATTCTGACAATGTACTTCGATTTTGGATATTGGACCATAGTAGGCAGTGTTCCAGCTAGGTCGTTTTCACAGGGTTGTCCGCCCGCCCTTTCCCGAGTGCCGCCCTGTGCCCTTTTTCTGACGCCCTGTGCCCTTTTTCAGACGCCCTGCCCTTTTTCTCAAGTCCATGCCTTTATTGTCGTAATATTTTTATGAAACTACTATTATTCTACCTGTCTTCATATTTATGACAGGTTTATGACCCTCAGCTAATTAACATTTACAGCAGGTGTAATAAGTTGTGTTTACAGATTATCCTCTTATCGCCATTGAAGGGTCGTTAATCCGTTAATTAAACCTCATAATTGACCATTGTAATTATTTTTCCCATTAAATTCAGTCAGTCAGCATTTCAATTTAAGATTTCTCAAAAGACCACAATTTGCAGTTTGTTTATCCATAGATGTTTTTGTAGTTTCGTCAATTTAACAAAATTGTTTTCCTCAGGAGTGTTCATTTAATTTCATATTTTCTCAAACAATAACTTATTCCAGCTCAGTTGACGTAGTTCATCATTTGAACGTATTGTCGTCACATTTTATAAAACTACTAGGTAATTAAATAAATGTCCAATTTCAAATATTTTGAGTTCTTTGACCACATTCATTTTGTGTCACAAACCTATGCTGTGTCAAATATTCAACCACAATCCAAATTCAGAGCAGTTTTAAGCTTAAATGAAGTGTCCATACTGGCTCAACTGTTCAGGGTTTGACCTCTGCAGGGAAATCCGGTTTGCTGTCACTCTGACAGCCTCTTGTTAGTTATTGCCCTTGTACCTTGGATAAAACATGTGCCAACTTTGGAACGCTTTTATCAATGTAAAAATTCATCATTATATGTTAACCTGAATAACACTTCATATATTGTAGAATCTTATTCAAATTTAAAAGTCCTGCTGACATTAGGTGTTTCTCTCTAGGGAACTCCTGCTTTCTCCAGCCAATAGTGTTGAAAATGACATTAAACAACAGCAATAAATCAATCAAATTTTAAAGATGTTCAACTCTGTCTAAAAATGAGTGTCCCTGAATCCACTGTGTTTTTGAAGGGACATCTTTCTTTAAAATGGTGTTTTGAAATTGATTGTGTTGTTTCTTAAAAAAAACTTATTCATTTATGTCATTTGTTCATACAGTAGTTAAAGAAGGTAGTGTTTAAAATTTTAAATCTAGAAAAAAATTCATTTTAGTTGCATTCCACTCCACATATATTTTTATGTTTTCCGTTTATGTTAGTGAACAAATATTAACAAACATTTTAATACATTTTAGAACACAGTACTGCAGATTCTTTTAATTATAGTGTTTGGAGGAATGGGACTCCTTGTTTTAAAAACATATAGGTAAGTCTTGTATTATAGCATGAATGAAAGATGAATCAATAAAATTATTTATTTGCTCTTATCTAATTTGTCCATAGCTATGTATAAAATGACCATTTAAGGTAAGTCAGGCCATAATCTTGCCGGCGAAATGACGATTTAAGTCGCCAAAGAATTTTGGAAATCGCTAAATCTCGCCGGCCGACTGACTTCATAGCGAAGTCAAATCGCTATCAAAATCGGTAAAAGGGAGACAACTTGTGATTGACGAGTCTCACAGGTAAAAAAAAATGGCGGCTGACAAGGAAAATCGAGATTTTCGAAACGACCCAGGACTAATACTGTAAACGATCAAATTAAATAAATACAACGGCGACTTTGAACATCCTCGGATATAACTTTCAAAACTGTTAAAACGGAAAACTGACCGTCTGTTTAAGTTAACGTTTTACGATGATTTTCATCTGAGGATGTTGCGTAATCACTCAGCTGATTTGTTTTATTTTTATTACCTACACAAGTCGATCAATTTTACTATTCGGTTGGTAAAGGGTGGGAATTAACGGTAGATTTATTATATTCATTGAATAAAAATTGAAATATAAAAGGTAGAAAGACAGCTGATGGATAATGTGATTGCAAACGTACGACACTCGAGATTGTGATCAGCAGTGGATTTTTTCTCATGACCACTTCGTTGATATGGATGACATTTTTAAAAAAATGATCGAAATTAGCTCTTTATCGGATAATTAACTTGAGATTAAAAGATATTTTCATTTATAGACTTACAATCTTTAACGATAATCTCAATTTACTACAACTAACATAAATGTCCTGGACATTCAATAATGTTTTACAAAACAATGTCAAGTAGTGATATAAATTAAATTCCCAGTCATGTGAAATTCATCATATTTTTCTGGAGTTTTAAAAATAAATTGAGGCAGATGCACATGAATTTAATGCATCATAATCTTGATAATATTACTAGGCTACTCCCTCATGTCCCAATCAACAAATTTTATTTAGAACACATTATGGTATCAATAAATAAATAACAACTATATATTGTTTAAACCTTTTTATTAAGAACTTTCTATATATACATTGTGTACAATAACATGAAAAAACTGCAAGTACATCTTTTATTGAATATAAAACAATTTCCTTAGTAATAAGCTTGAAAACATGATGCTACCGAAATGGTAATGGAATCTCACTTCTCCAAGAAGTTGACCACTTCTCCCTTCTCTCTCATGGAAGGAGAAGTCACTTCTCCCTCTTCAAAATCCTAGATTAGGCCCTGTAAGTATTGTCAGTTTCAACATAGTTATATCATAACAGACAGACATTTTTGCACAGAATTGTTTTTATAAAGGTATGATATGCTATTTCAATTTGTAACTGTTCCCAGAGTCAAATTTGCAATAAAAAGTTAGTTTTTGTTAAAAATCACAAATTTGAAAAATATTTTTTGTATGGTAGGATTTTAACAAAAATTATATTGAAGCTATGATAAATTGATTTCAAATGTCAAAAATTACCAGTCAGCCGCCATTTTTGAAATGGCTGACAAAATACATAAAAAAGACAGTGCATAGATTTTAATGGGACTTAATATCTACATCCTGACTTAATTCTTGGTGTCATTTTATACAAAAAATTGACACTCAAATAACATGTGTTGCTTTGTTTGCATCAGTATTAATTACATGTATATACAAAAAATTGTGCAAGTGACATTTTAGTTTTCTAGCATAATGTTTTTCCTTTAAAAGCCCTTAAAACATATAAAAAAAGGAAGTCATCAGATCAGCAAACAAACAATATATGCAGTCGATCAAATTAGCTTATTTACTGCTTATCCTCACATATGTTTCACCATTAATTTTTGTATTGTCAGGTCTATAAATAAAGGGACAATGCATTTATTTTAATATCAGTTCAAAGTATATTAATAAGTAAATGTGTACAGAATTTCTCATATACATTTTGAAGTTGATTTATTTTGAAAATGCATATGATTGTCCTGGAGTATCATTTGTGCGTTAAGAACACTGGTACATTATTATTGTGAGGATAATCTACTGCTGTTTCAGTAACTATATATATATTTATAACATAAACGAGTGATGAAGCCAGCTTTCAGTTTAATCAGATGAAGCATCATTGACATTTAGAATCCATCTACCTAAACATTGTGCAAACATTGGTAAACTTTTGAAGTTCTGTTTTTGCAAATATCATAAGAATTTATAATATTGTAGGTTTGTTATTGAAAGTCAGCAGAGTTCTCTTTTGGAAGAGCCAGTAGATTTAATGAAAGGTAATTTAATCCATTACACTTTACTGAATAGTACAATATAAAAAGAAGATGTGGTATGATTGCCAATGAGAAACTCTCCACCAGAGACTAAATGATGAAGAAGTAAACAACTAAAGGTCACTGTACAGCCTTCATGTTCATTTGACTAAATAGAAAGAAATTGTAAGAAACATGAATTGACTGTACAGTATATAAAACAGGAGAAAAGAAACATGAATTGACTGTACAGTATATAAAATAGGAGAAAAGAAACATGAATTGACTGTACAGTATATAAAACAGGAGAAAAGAAACATGAATTGACTGTACAGTATATAAAACAGGAGAAAAGAATCATGAATTGACTGTACAGTATATAAACAGGAGAAAATAAACATGAATTGACTGTACAGTATATAAAACAGGATAAAAGAAACATGAATTGACTGTACAGTATATAAAACAGGAGAAAAGAAACACGAATTGACTGTACAGTATACAAAACAGGAGAAAAGAAACATGAATTGACTGTACAGTATATAAAACAGGATAAAAGAAACATGAATTGACTGTACAGTATACAAAACAGGAGAAAAGAAACATGAATTGACTGTACAGTATATAAAACAGGATAAAAGAAACATGAATTGACTGTACAGTATATAAAACAGGATAAAAGAAATATGAATTGATTGTACAGTATATAAAATAGGATACTGTGGATTCATTATTATTCGTTGGATACAAGTTTTCGTGGATTTCATGGGTACAGGGAAACCACGAATTTAAATGTTCAACGAATGGCAAATTTGATGTATGATTAACTTTAGACTTTGGGAAAACCACTAAAATCCAATATCCACGAAAATGCAAGTTTTTCTCAATCCACGAAAATTGGTACCCACGAAAATAAATGAATCCACAGTAAAGAAGTATATGTTATGATATGACTACAGTAAGATCCTGTTTCCACACTTCACTTACAATGATCTCATAATACACACATTTCGATACTCAGTTTTTATTGTGATGATTCATATCTTCAAAATGAAAAAAAATGAATGGAACATTGTCAGATCCTGTAAGAAGGTTTTGTATTTCAATCAGATTGGTCATATTTTTTTCTAAATATGAAAGTTATTGTCAGTAATATTTTGTCAGATGATAGTTCTTTTAAGTTCTGTAAATTGATACAGAATGCATTATAGAATACAGTTTTTTATATATCTAGAAACATTGTGCAATAACTCTGCTTTGCTTTGATCAGTATTTAAAAAACGTTTTACAAATTTTAATAAAATACATTTTGTGTAAACATTAATGTGACACCAACCAACAACTTTTAGAGGTCAACATGAAGTCTTCAACAAAATACAAAATGTCTATACAATTTGTCAAACTGTAAATTGTTATGAGACTAGAAAAGTTGTGAATAAATTTAAATGGAGACTTTTTAAGATCTCCCTCCTATACTAAGTATAGTAAATGACAAAAGCATTAGAAAAATACCACAAAAATAAACCACTGAGGAGATTTCTATTCCTTGGATAGACACATGAACATGTAGCAGTGGTAATCAAGTTATAATGTAAGGTTCACGGGGAGATTTCTATTCCTTGGATAGACACATGAACATGTGGCAGTGGTAATCAAGTTATAATGTAAGGTTCATGAGGAGATTTCTATTCCTTGGATAGACACATGAACATGTGGCAGGGGTAATCAAGTTATAATGTAAGGTTCACGGGGAGATTTCTTCCTTGGATAGACACATGAACATGTAGCAGTGGTAATCAAGTTATAATGTAAGGTTCACAAGGAGATTTCTTCCTTGGATGAACATGTGGAAGTGGTAATCAAGTTATAATGTAAGGTTCACAAGGAGATTTCTTCCTTGGATGAACATGTGGCAGTGGTAATCAAGTTATAATGTAAGGTTCACAAGGAGATTTCTTCCTTGGATGAACATGTGGCAGTGGTAATCAAGTTATAATGTAAGGTTCACGGGGAGATTTCTATTCCTTGGATAGACACATGAACATGTAGCAGTGGTAATCAAGTTATAATGTAAGGTTCACGGGGAGATTTCTATTCCTTGGATAGACACATGAACATGTGGCAGGGGTAATCAAGTTATAATGTAAGGTTCACGGGGAGATTTCTTCCTTGGATAGACACATGAACATGTGGCAGTGGTAATCAAGTTATAATGTAAGGTTCACAAGGAGATTTCTTCCTTGGATGAACATGTGGCAGTGGTAATCAAGTTATTATGTAAGGTTCATGAGGAGATTTCTATTCCTTGGATAGACACATGAACATGTGGCAGGGGTAATCAAGTTATAATGTAAGGTTCACGGGGAGATTTCTTCCTTGGATAGACACATGAACATGTGGCAGTGGTAATCAAGTTATAATGTAAGGTTCACAAGGAGATTTCTTCCTTGGATGAACATGTGGCAGTGGTAATCAAGTTATAATGTAAGGTTCACGGGGAGATTTCTTCCTTGGATAGACACATGAACATGTGGCAGTGGTAATCAAGTTCTTCTCTCTTGAAATAAAAAAGCCAGCTGAAGAAAAATGATCTAACATTTTCATTATGTGACAGGAATGATGGTACATATGTTCAAATATAGAATCCTTTGTTATATCACATTTTCATCTGTGCCATTGATTGAAACAAGTTGGCCAATCTGAACCAAAATTTTCAAGAATAGTTCTGACATGGAAAATGATATTATTAACCATAAATATTTATGCTTTTGAAAATATTTTCAAGAATGTTTAAGATTCTGGGAAGGTGAAGTGAAACCTTAATATTGTTAGCATTTATAGTTAAAATGTTAAATTCAATCAGAAATAAGGATATGAAATCAGATTGCCCCTTTATAGTATCTAGTGTACATATTTTACAGCAATGAATGGGGAGGACGACTTACCAGAACAATCAGGTACAGAGACTAAACAGACAGATAAAAAACCTCACAGGAAAGGTGGAGTGGGATCTGCAAGACAAAGATATAAAATGGGAAAGAGCTGATGAATCATTTGACAAATAATTGGAAACATCTGAAATCCAAAATAAACAGACTGTGATATTTTGTAATTTCGACAGAAATTTTTTATGTGAATTACTTATCGATGAAGGAACATTTGTATACATGTTTTACAAAGACAGACAGTAATAGTATTCTTCTTTGTTTAAATTTGCATGAATTTTTCATACCATACCCAAGAAGCAAGTAATATGATTACCAGTATGTGACTTTGATACATTAATTTGTTTTAGATAAGACATGTAATCTGTAACGAAATTGGATGGAAAGTAATTTTAAAAAGATTCCATTGTAATAAAGATTTTACACAGTAAAAAAAATTAAATAATTTTAATGCCCCCACCGCTCGGCTTCGTGGGCATTAAGTGTTACCCATGTCCGTCCGTCCCCAAAAATTGGTTTCCGTTCTCTAACTTTAGTTTGACTCAACCAAATATTATAAAACTTATACACAATGCATATTACCACAAAACACAGATCAAGTTGGAAAGTGTTTACCGTTCATGAGTTATGCCCCTTTATTAACATAAAAAGTGCTAAATCTGTCGTTTCCATTCTCTAACTTTAGTTTGCCTCAACCAAATGTTATGAAACTTATACACAATGCTTATTACCACAAAACACAGATCTAGATCGAAATTAGGTGGCGTAACTATTACCGTTCATGAGTTATGCCCCTTTATAAACATAAAAATTGCTAATTCTGTCGTTTCCGTTCCATTACTTTAGTTTACCTCAACCAAATGTTATGAAACTTATACACAATGCTAATTACCACAAAACACAGATCAAGTTCGAAATTGGGTGGTGTCACTTTTACTGTTCATGAGTTGTGCCCCTTTATAAACAAAAATTGCTAAATCTGTTGTTTCTGTTCTCTTACTTTAGTTTGCCTCAACCAAATGTTATGAAACTTATACACAATGCTTATTACCACAAAACACAGATCAAGTTCGAATTTGGGTGGAGTCACTTTTACAGTTCATGAGTTATGCCCCTTTATAAACATAAAAATTGCTAAATCTGTAGTTTCTGTTCTCTAACTTAAGTTTGCCTCAACCAAATGTTATGAAACTTTTACACAATGCTTATAATCACAAAACAGTCTTAACTACATGAATCCTGCATCTGTATGTGGAAGTTGACTAATGCATATTTACAAGCGGGGGCATCTGTGGCCTATAGACACATTCTCCATTTATTTGTTGCTCACTTGGCCCTAGTAGCTCCTAAAAGCTTCTGGCCCGCATTTAATAGATACAATATCTCATCTCTTATTATTCCCTCCCTTGTACAACCCTGAGGCGAATATCTCCATTCCATGCATCTATCCATGTCTTCATCTGTCTATCAATGTCTTCATTTACATGTCTTCTTTGAGTTTAGTAATACTTATGATTGAATTAAGAATATATTTGATGAGTTCTTTGTTTGGTGTTATTCTTAAAGGAAACATTTGTTTTTGTTGAAAAATGTTTGATTTTGAGAACTGATTTTTGTTTAATCAATAGATTTAAGTAAAAAGGACCAGACTTTAAAAAAATTTTGTATATAGGCTTGAAAAAGTGGATAATAAATTTTCCTTTTCTATTAGGGTCGTACAGAATTGTTGTATCTATTTGAATCAAGGAATGAAACTTATTGAGATAATGGGAACAGTGGCGGATCCAGAACTTTTCCTAAGGGGAGGCCTGCTGACTGACCTAAGGGGGGGCCTGCTCCAGTCATGCTTCAGTGATTCCCTATATAATCAACCAAATTTTTCCCACAAAAGGGCCCCCCCCCCCCCCCCCCCCCTGGATCCGCCTATGGGAAACTACACCACTTTCAGTTATCATTGGGTTACTGTCTCATTGATGAATACCCCACATCTGCTATTTATTCAAACAAATTTTGCAAACTTCTGCTGAAGATACTAACCAAACTTTGGTTAACTAGAATTGTTGATTTTAGGGTGAACATTTTTAACAGATTTGATAATTCACAGAAGACTGTCCAAAAGATGGTGGCAATAGCGTACTGGACACCAATAAATTCTGAAAGATTGATAAAATGAACTTGTAGTATAGATAGGCCTTCAATAGGGTAAAAATGGATCAAGTATGTTGGAAATTCACATGAGTTTTAAACTAGACAACCTACAGTGTTTAGTGCAAATAGGCTCAGTAGTTCGAGAAGATTTATTGTAAAGTTTATGACAATGTATGCAAAGTGATGGCAATGGCTCATATTGCTCAAATTATTTTTGAAGGTTTTTTCATTCTTTATGCTAGAAATAAAGAATTTTAGAGGAGCAATAGAATATTTTTGTAACTACTTATCTGGGTTATATTAAAAAATGGTATTGTTTCAAGAACAAAGAATAATTGAAAGATTATTGCTTGACTTACATAACATTCAGTAGAAGTTAATTCGTGCATATTCAGGAGGGAAAAAACAATAATTTCTAAAACTGTCCATTAAGTGTAAATTCTAAAATTATTGTGTGCATTTAATTTTGTGACTTTTGAAGAATGGACATAAATGCGAGATTGATTATTGTGATTTTAGGAAAATATGCATTCAGATATCTGAATGTGAGTTCTTATTATTGCGATTCTCACACCTTCAGATTATTAGCAATAATAAAAACCTTGTAATAATTTCTGAATTTACAGTACTCCCTGCATCCTAGATAAACGTTTAAGTATTTTAGTGACTGAAATACAAAGAATCAAAGAAGTTGATAATATAGATTAGGATGTTTTTCTAGTGTTTTATTCTATGAAGTCACGATGCATGTACATATACATCCTACAAGCATGCATATTTGCATATCAGGATCTAAAAACATACTAAGTTTCATGTAGATATAATAAACCATACTTGAGGAGTTGAGAAAAAACAATGTAAGAGCTGGACAGGTCAAAATTTGCCAATGAGCCATAACCTTAGAAAAACTCAGTGAGATGTAATATAGTACCCACATGTGCATATAAGTATCTAACAATGTACTAAGTATCATGTAGCTACAATAACCTATGTTGGATGAGTTGTTATGACAAGTTCAGATCGGAGAACTTAAAAAAATTGAAGTTCAGTGGAGCATTGGAGCAGTGAGCTTGTGTTTTATTTTATGCATAGTAGCAATATAAAAATAAGGAGATGTGGTATGATTGCCAATGGGACAACTATCCACCAAAGTTCAAATGAAGTGGATGAAAGCAATTATAGGCAACCGTACAGTCTTCAACAAGGAGGGAAAACCCCAAACCGTATAGTCGGCTATAAAAGGCCCTGATATGAAAAATATGAAACAATTCAATTGAGAAAACTTATGGCCTAATTTATAACAAAACAATTTATGAAAAACAAATATGACGGACATAAACAAACGACAACCACTGAACTTCTGGCTCCAGACTTGGGACAGGCTAGAGAATGGGGCAAGGTTCAACATGTTTGTGAGTGCTCAACCCTCCCCCTAACCTGGAACAGTGGCGTTACAGCACAATTTACATATTAAGAACAAACTATAAAAATCAGTTGAAAATGGCTTAACTCATCAGATCGATACAAAGCAGAAAAACATCTAACAAAAACACAGAACGGGCATGGCAGAGTATTTATACATCCCTAATAAGAAAAAAGGCACAAAGAACAGATCTGAGAGTACTCACAGTTACTGATAGCTAGTTCAAGGCCAATAACAACTAAAAACAGAAATCATGCATCTAAGACTAAAATATCAATCATTACAGTGATACACATCCAAAATCCAATGGATTTAGCATTAAGATGTCATTAACTGTCAGAGAAAAACATGACCTTGTGCAATGCCAAAATAAAGGTATTAACAGATTGTAGTACTGTATGTATATAACAATACTATTTAGTATGGTTTTAATTTACTGAAAGAAAAATCAATATTTACAACAGTAAATACAATATTCAAAGATCTAATTAATAAGTGTTGAATTGCTAACCTTTTAAAATAATTTTATTTAAAGGATGTTTGTTGACTGACTGCAATGAAATACACACTTAATACTGGATACCCTAAGGTTCTTTCAATCTAGATTTTGTAGAAATTGGCTCAGTAGTTTTAGAGAAGATCTTTGAAAAAGTTGATGAAAGCAGACTTGACAACTGATGCGAAGTTATTGCAATAGGTCACATGAACCTATGGGCCAGGTGACCTAAAAAAGTAATACACAATGATCTCCAGCTTAAACTTATCTATGAATATAAACACCATTGGAACCATGGTACCCTACAAAATAGTTTTTAACTTACAGACTATATGATAAAAATTTAAATGGACATGACAATGCTTCTGGAATAATCTTCGTCAGGAAGGCACCAGATCAAAAGGTTGCAAAGAAAAATGCATAAATATTTGGGAGCTGATTGTTTTTTACACAATGTCCAATGTTTTCCCTGAAGAAGATGTAATCATAATTACAGTGAAGTCCTGTTTCATAGAGAATAAAAATTGAGTCATCAAACCATACCAGTACTAAAACATGTAACACATGGGATTTGTACTCCTTAGGTCTGACAGTCTCCAGCAGTAATAATGTCCCACTGCATGCCAGTACTTAAACATGTAATACAGGGCATTGGTTCCCTTTAGGTCTGACAGTCTCCATTAGTGATAATGTCCAACTTCATATCAGTACTTAAACATGTAATACAGAGGATTGGTTACCTTTAGGTTTGACAGTCTCCAGCAGTGATAATGTCCCACTGCATACCAATACTTAAACATGTAATACAGAGGATTGGTTTCCTTTAAATCTGACAGTCTCCAGCAGTGATAATGTCACACTGCATACCAGTACTTAAACCTTAAATACAGGGGATTGGTTCCCGTTAGGTCTGACAGTATCCAGCAGTAATAATGTCCCACTGCATACCAGTACTTAAACATGTGATACAGGGGATTTGTACTCCTTAGGTCTGACAGTCTCCAGCAGTGATAATGTCCCATTGCATACCAGTACTTAAACATGTAATACAGGGTATTGGTTCCCTTTAGGTCTGACAGTCTCCAGCAGTGATAATGTCCCACTGCATACCAGTACTTAAACATGTAATACAGGGAACTTGTACTCCTAAGGTTTGACAGTCTCCAGCAGTGATAATGTCCAACTGCATACCAGTACTTAAACATGTAATACAGGGGATTGGTTCCCTTTAGGTCTGACAGTCTCCAACAGTTATAATGTCCCAATGCATACCAGTACCTAAACGTGTAATACAGGGGATTGGTTCCCTTTAGGTCTGACAGTCTCCAGCAGTAATAATGTCCCACTGCATGCCAGTACTTAAACATGTGATACAGGGGATTTGTACTCCTTAGGTCTGACTGTCTCCAGCAGTGATAATGTCCAACTGCATACCAATACTTAAACATGTAATACAGGGCATTGGTTCCCTTTAGGTCTGACAGTCTCCATTAGTGATAATGTCCAACTTCATATCAGTACTTAAACATGTAATACAGAGGATTGGTTACCTTTAGGTTTGACAGTCTCCAGCAGTGATAATGTCCCACTGCATACCAATAGTTAAACATGTAATACAGAGGATTGGTTTCCTTTAAATCTGACAGTCTCCAGCAGTGATAATGTCACACTGCATACCAGTACTTAAACCTTAAATACAGGGGATTGGTTCCCGTTAGGTCTGACAGTATCCAGCAGTAATAATGTCCCACTGCATACCAGTACTTAAACATGTGATACAGGGGATTTGTACTCCTTAGGTCTGACAGTCTCCAGCAGTGATAATGTCCCATTGCATACCAGTACTTAAACATGTAATACAGGGTATTGGTTCCCTTTAGGTCTGACAGTCTCCAGCAGTGAAAATGTCCCACTGCATACCAGTACTTAAACATGTAATACAGGGAACTTGTACTCCTAAGGTTTGACAGTCTCCAGCAGTGTTAATATCTAACTGCATACCAGTACTTAAACATGTAATACAGGGGATTGGTTCCCTTTAGGTCTGACAGTCTCCAGCAGTTATAATGTCCCAATGCATACCAGTACCTAAACGTGTAATACAGGGGATTGGTTCCCTTTAGGTCTGACAGTCTCCAGCAGTGATAATGTCCCGCTGCATACCAGTACTTAAACATGTAATACAGAGGATTGATTCCCTTTTAATAGGTTTGACAGTCTCCAGCAGTGATAATGTCCCACTGCATACCAATACTTAAACATGTAATACAGAGGATTGGTTTCCTTTAAATCTGACAGTCTCCAGCAGTGATAATGTCACACTGCATACCAGTACTTAAACCTTAAATACAGGGGATTGGTTCCCTTTAGGTCTGACAGTCACCAGCAGCGATAATGTCCCACTGCATACCAATACTTAAACATGTAATACAGGGTATTGGTTTCCTTTAGGTCTGACAGTCACAAGCAGTAATTATGTCTCACGGCATATCAGTACTTTAACATGTAATACAGGGGATTGGTACCCTCTAGGTCTGACAGTCTCTAGCAGTGATAATGTCCCACTGCATGCCAGTACTTAAACATGTGATACAGGGGATTTGTACTCCTTAGGTCTGACTGTCTCCAGCAGTGATAACATCCAACTGCATACCAATACTTAAACATATAATACAGGGGATTGGTTCCCTAAAGGTCTGACAGTCTCCAGTAGTGATAATGTCTAACTGCATACCAGTACTTAAACATGTAATACAGAGGATTGGTTACCTTTAGGTTTGACAGTCTCCAGCAGTGATAATGTCTAACTGCATACCAGTACTTAAATATGTAATACAGGGGATTGGTTTCCTTTAGGTCTGATAGTCTCCAGTAGTGATAATGTCTAACTGCATACCAGTACTTAAACATGTAATACAGGGGATTGGTTTCCTTTAGGTCTGACAGTCTCCAGTAGTGATAATGTCTAACTGCATACCAGTACTTAAACATGTAATACAGGGGAATGGTTCCCTTTAGGTCTGACAGTCTCCAGTAGTGATAATGTCCCACTGCATATCAGTACTTAAACATGTAATACAGGGGATTGGTTTCTTTTAGGTCTGACAGTCTCCAGTAGTGATAATGTCTAACTGCATACCAGTACTTAAACATGTAATACAGGGGAATGGTTCCCTTTAGGTCTGACAGTCTCCAGTAGTGATAATGTCCCACTGCATATCAGTACTTAAACATGTAATACAGGGGATTGGTTCCCTTAAGGTCTGACAGTCTCCAGCAGTAAAACTGTGATTCATCATTATACCTGTATGCTGGAGACTAATTTTTGTAAATTTGTGGGCATTGGTGAAGCAGGAAGGAAAATTTCCCATTAGCTTGCAAGCAGAATTTGTGAATACCAAGAAGTGAAGTATCCAAGAAAATACCAACATTAATAAATGACTCCACAGAATAATATGTCATCAGTTTCAAAAATAATTCATCAAAGGTAAATAGAATATGATGACACTATCTGTATCCTTCATTAAGGAAAATAAACAAACAAATCAACCATTAAGTTTTATTGTCTTCTATATTCAGTGAAAAAAATATAATAAAATTCAACCCACAAATGAATACAATACAAATGGATTTCCCCATGTAGCAAATATGATAACATAAATAAATATCAGTATGTGTACCGGTATATCTGCCAAATGAAGCATCCACTAACAATAATAATGAATGGAACTAATATATATAAAGAAGTATTTTTGTAACCAGACATAAATATTCCTAAAATTTCAATAAAAAGTAAGTTCTGAGGTAAACAATACAAAATGTAAACAATTTGTTTATCTCTCTTTCTAAATAGCAATGATTCTCATTACAGATAATAATGAATTTTCTGTAAAAATAGTGACATTAAATTAACAATAATTGAGATGCAGAAGAAGAGATATGTTTCAAATTGTATTTCTATCCTCTAAAATGTAGTAGTTCTATTAACACATTGAGCAAATGATTTTTTTTAGACAAGAGTTGAATATTAGTAAGGTTTCAGTGAATAAAAACATGGTTTAAAAGATTAAATGTATCGCATAATCGTTTTAATAATCCTATTGAAATATTTTCCAGTTGAAAACAAATATTAATATATCATATTTAAATCAAAAGAGCAGGCTGGCAGTATGTTAAATGTATGAAAAATGAAAAGCAGTCTTCCAATTTTTTTGCAACAAAACCCCATAAAAGAAAGAGTAATACATGCTACTTAATCCATTTCAAATTACAAACATTAAAAGTTACAACTGATGCCCATACACTTATAATATATGCTACTTATATTTAAAAAGCCTTAAAAAGTTACTTTGATTTCAATAGGCAGCAGGTACAAAGTTTCACGCCATATGGATGAAAGTGATATAGTTTTTTTTTAGGAAGAAGCATTTTTGATAAAAAAAATATTCTATTTTACTAATTTTCTAGTCTGTTAACAAAAACTTTCAAAATCTGCATTCATATCTCTTATTAACAGTTAATATGAAACCATCAGTTTTCATACAATATAAAAGTTTGTAGAAACACAATATGGCATTTGCTTTATCCGTGAAAAAATGGAAGATATAATACATTATCAACCTGATCATGAGGTAAAGATATAATTAAATCATACAAATCTGAAACAACGACACTGAAAAACAGTCATGTTTGGATCAATAGTGTACAATTCCAATGTTTAGCATAATTTTCCTGAAAGGTCAAAGATTTTACCCTTTAAGATTAAGTGGTAAATAACCTTAAAAATGTTCCAGGTGCAAACTCTTGCAATATTTTACATTTTCTTTTATGGCAAATATACTTCGTATTTAATACAGTTTATATCGTAAGCTATCAGACACTGTAAAATATGGAATGTATTTTTATCTTCTCATACAATAACAATAACAATACCATACAAAGATTAAATCTCGCTTTCTGGTCAGTAATTTGAGACAATATGAATGGAATGACAATGAATTAACCACTGAAATGTGACTGAAGGTGAAAAGAGCAGGAGTTTTACTCCTTAAAATATATGATGATGATGGACAATATTTTTTCTGCTAAATAGTTGTGGTCTTTGTTAACACATATCCTTTTTCATATATATTAGAAATTTCTGGTTTTCTCATTAGCATATCAAAACATAAATGAATTTCAGTCAGAGTATATTTTAAAATTTCAGTTACTGTAATCTGATTGTGCTGTTGAAAAGCAGTAAATTGAAAATGGATGCAAAAAAAAACCTGATTCAGTTGGCATTTGTAACTTACACCTACTAAAAAAAATTCCCAACAAAAAAAAAAAAGGCACAAAAAGAAAACAATCTGTTTCCCCTTTAAATCAAAAGGATATTTTGGGTGTATGTCAGCAAACAATAAGAAATAAGATTTGCCTATATTCTTATATCCTTTTTTTTTCTCTGATGAAATTTGAAATAATGTCTATTAGTATACCTCAGTTATCATTTTCTATATAAAATAAGTACACAATATTTTCACTATTTTTCAAATTGCAAGAGTTGAACTATTTGACGGGTCAATAGTTTCCAACTATTTGCCCTCGATGAAACTATTTGACCGCAAGCCTCATTATATTTGGCAGAATTTCAACTGCAGCTATGGGATTGGAGGATTGAGAATACGGCAGGAGTTACGACGTTGCGTTTTACCCATTGTATCTTGGGTTGACGTCAGTGCGGGAATATATCACAGAATATATATGAAGTAAACATTAAACAGTATGGTTGGGTTTTTGCTTTTTATATTACGATAGTTGATTTAGCTCCGTCATTTATTGTCTGTTGTCTCTTTCGGTATAATAAAACACTAACTGACTGGATATTTGTGGAATAGTAAGTTTATTGTCCCCTTGGATACCACTATTGCCCTCGACTTCGCCTCAGGGCAATAGTTGCATCTCGATGACAATAAACTAACTATTCCACTCATACCCAGTCAATAAGTATAAACAATCATTCAATCTGCATAATGTTTGGTTAAATCAAATCGGATTTTTACTATTTTTCAAATGCTTATGTGAAAGTGAATTAAATTTTGAAAAAGACAGTGAAATAATAAAAAAAAAATTGTGAGGGGCTTGATGGGAGGGGGATTGAAGGGACTTTACAATATATCACAATCAAATATCCACTAACACAGAATATAAAAATAACTATATAAACAAACAACTTAACATATAACACAAAATTACAGGAAAATGCATAGTTTAAGTCCAAGATTCTGTATATAGTATTCAAAAGATTTTTGTTCAATAGATGAACCATTTTTTCTAACATTTGATACATTAATGATACGTATTTGATACAATGCTATGTATATTACAACATTTTCTATACATTACAATCCTCTGAATCACATATTCTGAGTTTTTCCAAGGTTGAAGAACATTTAATTCCATCAATTGTTGAAGCGACTCAATTTTTTTGATACTTTGTTTCTTTGAGAAATGTTAGTTCTTATGGTGATCAACATCCATTAAAACATGGTATAAATACAAGAAAAATTTACACAATTAGTACATCAAATACATATCTACAACAATGAATTGCATATATATAAACTGAACTAGAGAAATACCCCAAAACACTGATATGTTATCTTTATATCATTTTAATTTGTTTTTCTCTTTCAAAAACAAAATACAATTTTTAACATAAACTGTAGTCAATGGCTATAAAAATCACTTAATAGGCAAATAACATACATAAATCTAAGAATTCATGACTCTTGACTACTCAAAATCTTTTTTTTTTAAACCTATAAAATTTTCTATTACCCCAAAATAGAAGACTAATTATATATGGTTATTAAATACACATTATGCCCACGATATTTCATTTTGATAACTTAAATACACAATAAATATAAAAACTAATTTCACATTGACTTATTAATTTACCAATATAGTCTTTGTAAGAAAGGACAATGCTCAAATTAGGGAACTGATTATACCCTGGCTGCAACTACTTCTCACCAAATTTAACCAAGGATTGTCTCCCTTACTTCACAACTTTTTAACCTGTGCAACGTACATTCTTGCAAAGACTAGATACATTGTTTGTACAAATTAATAGGCCACATTACTTATGCTGCATATATAAGCCAAGTCATTTTTTTATTTATAATTCTTGTTCACTTCTGATAAAAAAAAAATTCTTAAATCTCATAATTTAAAAGCGATACTTAATTAGTTATTAATTTCTTTTTTTAACTTTATTTAATCAGAAAAGTTGGAACAAAAGTATGATTAAAAAGATGGGATGTAGAAGCAGTTATCAATGATGGTTGTATATGTATTGTTTATGTCTTTGAAAATATATCAATTAAAACCAAAAGAAATGATAATAACTTTTCTTAATTTTCAACAACAAAAAAGTTATCCAAAAAGCTGTTTTCCTGTAAGAAGAGAACAAGATATTATGACATGATCAGAACAAAGCAATAAATTATAGCCCACGTGACAAGCTTGATGCAGAGTCTTCATTACAACGAATATCACAGATTTTAAATTAAGCTTTAATGGAAACAATAATAGTTATTGAAAATGCATTCACTTTCATAGCTAACTTTATCTCAATTTAGCATGACAAAGAATGATAAGTGAAACCTATTTTCAAATTTGCTTCACACAGCATGATAGATAATATCTATCTCACATAAAATCCTTACAAGAGAATGATTTTCAAAAGTCACTGACTATTATAACTAAATTAAGGTGAAAGAGGGAGAACAGATTTGTTTTCTCTGCTGAAATGGGGGATTAGACTGATATTGCTCTGGGGAACTGATAATCACACAATTGTTACATTTATATATGTGCTTCAGAATTAATCACACTGAAATCACCTTTCTTTGACAATTTAAAGTGTATTTTTTTTTAAATAGGATCGTTAATGAATCTGCACCAAGCTTGTTCACTAAGGCTTTTATCTCTTCAATATGATATTGAAAATGAATCTAATTTCTTCTGCAATTGCTAAGGTACTTCGATGCATGCACCAAAAGGACAAACATCTCATTCAAAAAATATTCAACTATTGTAATTATGCTAAGTTGAACATTGAAGTCTTGTTAATAATTAATATATAAGTAAACATTTTTGTATGTTTACTTTTATCATTCATTCTAAAGGCTAGAATAACACTTATTTTGACAGAAAGCAATTCAAATACTTCTATGCAGAAGAAATAAATTCGTTCATTAAAACATTGAATATCAAAATATTCTTCATCTAAAAAATGTCTTTCACAAACAAATTGAATATCAAAATATTCTTCATCTAAAAAACATCTTTCCCAATGTGTTTTACAGGGAAAGACATTATTTTTTACAATAATGAAACAAATCTCAATTAGTGAGTTACCAGAAGACTCTAAATCTCCTAAACTTGGAATGTTTCACTGAGATGTGTTATTTACAAAATTACACAATGAGATCATATTAGTCAAATTTCAATCATGTGGTAGCTGGTATCTAGTATTATGCTGATTCCTTGTTTACTGTTTTCTATTGTGTATTCAAATTCCTCCTCAAAGCATCGATACTGTCATCGTCTGTCTGGTAAAAATAAAATGAGATAACATGTAAAAAAAGAAAGGTATAAAATATTCAGATCAAAATGCCCAGATCAAATGACCAATCTTTTGCAAATTACTGAAGACAGCTTGCCACATTTAAAATAACAGAGGTTTAAAGCCATATCTATGAAATGAAAAATGAAATAATTTGTACAGGTAGATGATTTCCAATTGCTTAAATTAACACACTGACCATTAACACAGACTTGTTTTTGGTGCTTAACATTTTACTTTGAAGCCTTATACCGGTATATTGTAACTGTGAATGAAATATGATAAACAGAATAAAATGCTTCGCTGGGCACAGCTTGATACGACCGCAGAGGTCGAACCCTGAACAGTTGGGGCAAGTATGGACACAACATTCAAGCTTGATACAGCTCTGAATTTGGATTGTGATTAAATATTTGACACAGCATAGGTTTCTGACACAGAAAGAATGTGGTCTAAGAACTTGAATTTTTTTAATTTACCTATTATGGTCCAATGTCCAAAATCAAAATACATGGTTAGATTCAGCATATCAAAGAACCCCATATATTCAATTTTTGTTGAAATCAAACAAAGTTTAATTTTGGACCCCAACTTGGACCAACTTGAAACCTGGGCCCATAATCAAAAATCTAAACACATGTTTAGATTCAGCATATCAAAGAACCCCAAGAATTCAATTTTTGTTAAAATCAAACTAAATTTAATTTTGGACCCTTTGGACCTTAATGTAGACCAATTTAAAAAACGGGACCCAAAATTAAAAATCTAAATACACGGTTAGATTTGGAATATCAAAGAACCCCAATAATTCAATTTTTGATGAAATCAAACAAAGTTTAATTTTGGACCCTTTGGACCTCAATATGAACCAATTAGATAGCGGGCCCACAAATAAAAAATATAAATACATGGTTAGATTCAGCATATCAAAGAACCCCATATATTCAATTTTTGTTGAAATCAAACAAAGTTTAATTTTGGACCCCAATTTGGAACAACTTGAAAACTGGGCCCAAAATCTAAAATCTAAATACATGTTTAGATTCAGCATATCAAAGAACCCCATATATCCAATTTTTGTTGAAATCAAACAAAGTTTAATTTTGGACCCCAACTTGGACAAACTTGAAAACTGGGCCCATAATAAAAAATCTAAACACATGTTTAGATTCAGCATATCAAAGAACCCCAAGAATTCAATTTTTGTTAAAATCAAACTAAGTTTAATTTTGGACCCTTTGGACCTTAATGTAGACAATTTAAAAAACAGGACCCAAAATTAAAAATCTAAATACACGGTTAGATTTGGCATATCAAAGAACCCCAATAACTCAATTTTTGATGAAATCAAACGAAGTTTAATTTTGGACCCTTTTGACCTCAATATGAACCAAATTGATAGCGGGCCCACAAATAAAAAATCTAAATACATGGTTAGATTCAGCATATCAAGGAACCCCATATATCCAATTTTTGTTGAAATCAAACAAAGTTTAATTTTTTACCCCAATTTGGACCAACTTGAAAACTGGGCCAAAAATCAAAAATCTAAATACATGTTTAGATTCAGCATATCAAAGAACCCCATATATTCAAATTTTGTTAAAATCAAACAAAGTTTAATTTTGGACCCTTTGGACCTTAATGTAGACCAATTTGAAAACTGGACCCAAAATTAAAAATCTAAATACATAGATAAATATAGATTCTGCATAACAAATAAATAAATGTGGTCAAAGATTTTACAAATCTAATGCGCCATACTGTGCAATTAAAGATTGCTTCTTGAAATTTTTCAATATTTGAAATTTGAAAAAAAAATAATATTTGAAGAATAATTCTTTTTAATTTCTGAAATCTGAAATGAGAAAAAATTGACCCCCCACAATTTCTTTTTACCCCCTCCCCCCCTTTTTTCCCCCAAAAAATTCTTTCCCTCAAGATATGGTCATAATCTCAATTCAAATTTCCAATGGAGTTTGCAACCATAATTACCCATTTAAATTTACCATAGTGCTAACTTAATCTATTTCATAACAGAATTTAAAAATATAGTGTCAAATCTTTCATATGGATTTTTTTGTAAAAAAAAAAGATGCAACATTTGCAGATATTTTTACTGGTCTTCCTTTATAAATATGCATTTCTTTAAACATAATTTAAAAGCAGTGTAAGGGAAGTAACCAAAACGTTATATTTGGATTACCTCCCTTACACTGTTTAAAATTATCTTAATTGTTCATTAACGATTACTTTATACATAATTAAAAAGCAGTGTAAGGGAGATAATTTCAATGATGTATTTGATTTATCTCCCTTACACTGCTTAAAATTTTGTTTTGTACAAAAGTATTTGTCCATTAACCAGGACAACCTTGTTTTTCCCCCTTTTTTGCCCCTAATTCCTAAACGGTTTGAGCCATAACCCCCCAAAGCAAATCCTAACCATCCCTTTGTGGTATGGAAACTTGTAGTATAATTTCAGAGAGATCCATACACCGTTCCACAGTTATTGTCTGGAAACAAGAAAATGCTTATTTTTGGCCCCTTTTTGGCCCCTAATTCCTTAACTGTTGGTACCATAACACCCAAAATCAATCCCCACCTTCCTTTTGTGGTATTGAACCTGATGGTAAAATTTCAAAGAGATCCATTCACTTAAACTAAAGTTAGAGTGCGAAAACCAATGTGTCTTCGGACGACGACGACGCCAATGTCATACCAATATACGACCGCAAAAATTTTTTGCGGTCGTATAAAAATTGGAGAGAGTTGAGGGTGTCATGGAAGGCTAGAACTTTCTTGTATTTCCTTTACCTTCCAGTTATAGCATGTGTGAAGATGGTTGAATTTAACTGATGAGCATGTTTTTTTACCAATATTGGTTGAGTACTTCATACCTGTGCTTATTGTTAATATAGAAATTTCATAATAATACAACTGTTTTTTTTAAACTTTCAGTATGTATGTATACTAACCTTTTTAGGTGAAAATTTCATGTTTTTATTTGCCTACAGAAAGAAAAAAAGAAAAAAATACTTTATTGTCAATCAACTCCAATATAAAAAAAATCATAATAATAATATTGTACTTCAGTTTGAAAATTTCTTCATCTCGCTTTTTCAGTTGGTACATACACTGTAGTGTCAATATCTTAAGTTAGTCTTCTTAATGGGAGATGATACAGTTTTTCATTTTTTGTGATTTTGTAATGTTTTGTAAATCAAAATCTTTGAAAGATCATGAAATAAAACTTATGTAAATGTGTTTGTTTTTTGGGTAAAATATGAGAATCAATGAAATTTTGTGACAACTTTTAAGATTTTTGTAAACTAGCTATTTAGAATATTTTTGTGTTTTATACAAATATTAAACATTGCTTAGCTGGGAATACCATGTTGACCTTATACTTCCTGAAATATAAAGTTCAAACTTTATCTAAATCAAAGAGCTTGAATGACCATTTTATCCAGAAATTGGCCTTCTCACTAACAGAACCTATGTGCATCTTTCTATTCCTGTATACTTTAAAATACCTGGTGTAATAACTTTCAAGAATTACTTAGGATAATACTATTTCATCAACATCAGATCCAAAAGTGAGTAGACCATTTATAAATCTAAAATTATTTACAGAAGAAATTGCAATTTACCATACGAAATATTTTTTACTTATCACATATATTATAAAGGGTCTTAACATTTCATTTTCATACTACTAAGTAAGTTCTTGAAGTTCCTACTTTTTATTTTTTTCAATGCACTTTTAGAGTAAATAAAACCTTGGAACAGAACACTATTTCATTATGATAGTCACATCAATTTTTCAGTATGTACATATGTCATGTGTATTAAACTGTAAAATAATATTATCCGATCTGACAAGTCTGTTTATTCTGATTTTATTTTATGAGTCATATGCATTATAGTCAAAAATATTTAAATGAATATATATATATATACACCATAATGCCATGAAAATGATCAATTCTTTCTCTATATTGGTTATATATTTTCATATGAACATGCTTACATTGAACTTAATTGATAATCTTGTAACTTAATTTGCAGATCCTTAACTTTTTTCCCAATTTATTTGAATAAATTAATAAAAATATTGTTGCCTTTAAATATATACACCCTAATTGGCCATGTGATCTAGGTTTCTGGACACACTACAAGCCTTGTTACCATGATGTCACAGAAGCAATGGTTATAACCTCAAATTTGCAGATGTACTATTTTTGGGCTTTATTTCAGGTGAATTACACACATAAATATTTTTTTTATACATAATGGCACCATGGGTAAGTACTTTCAACACTGCCGTGCCATCCAAAATTCAATCTTAAAGACAATCACTGCACTTACCACCAATATTTCAAAAGTGTTTGTTGATGCTAAATATTAAAGCATGGTAAGAAATTAAGTAAGAAAAGAATGATGAAAAAGAGACAACTAGAACTGCATCCAAAATTAAATGCCTAGAAATGTGATCTGGAGGACAGTAAATTACACTAATATTTCAACAATAATGAGAAAACACCATTAAAAATGTAAGCAACACATTTTTTAAATATTTCAAATTTTATAACTAATTGAATATGAACTAAGGAAATATCTTAAAAGGTCAATATATTCATGCCCTGATCAGATAAAAGGTTAATTATGTCATGAATGTTAGATAGGAAACTGTTTTCTTTCAACTAACACTTTTCATTGCAACATGAGAAGTAATTTTTTAAATCATAACCATATCTATCAAAACTAATTGTATCATTGTAAATTTACATGTACCTACACTAGTTTTATTTTGGTTTATAGTTTTTTAGATTTTTTTAGAAAGTGGAAAGTTATACACCAACACCATAATTTTAATTTTTGAATTGGAAAATCAGCATGTACCTTAGAACAAATACACAAATGAGAGATATTCGTTGTGAAGTTAAAAACATAATTACTCTATAAACTGTACTGTATAAAATATTTCAAAAACCTTGAAGACAAATATACATGTACTGATTTCCCAAAATAATATAAACTTATTCAGTGTTTACTAGGAACAATTAGCTAGGAAAAACTAAAATCATGCAGGCATTTAACTACCTCCACCTTATCCCCTGTATCTTTGCCATCATCCTCATCATCATATCCAGCATCATCATCTTTAACAGTCTTGGCAACATTCTCTTTCTCATTCTGTACACCATCCTTTTGTCCTTGTACAGTTTTTGATGATTCGGTGGTTTTAACTTCTCCCCCAGCCTTTTTACTTCCTTGCTCCATTTCTTTGACATTTGCCTCTCCTGCAGATTTCTGAGCATTCTCTCCTTCAGTTTTGTTCTGACCTTTTTCTTGGTTAGTCCCATTTACCTTAGTGTTTGGTTGTAGAAGGTTGTCCTTTCCTACAACGGTGTTATTTTTGTTTTCACTTATGTCTTGAGTTTTGTTAGATGAATCATGCAATTTCCCCTCACCTCCATATATAAGCCCCGCTATTTCTTGGGATTTTTTAAGGCCTTGTTTGATGCCTTCTTGGGTCTGATTAAGGATTTCATGCAAATGTTGACCAGCTTTCTCAGACAAGGATTGCAATCCCTCTTTCACTTTATCTTGAGCAATATTATTCAGATCGGTTTTTTCTTTCAGGGTTTCAAGCCCTTGTTTAATTGTTTCCTGAGAGAGGGATTGTACTCCCTCTTTTAGCTTGTCCTTTAAGCCTACTAAACTGTTTACTAATCCAGTTGTTGGAGCAGAATTCTTACCTTGTCCTTCTGATCCTTCTTTAAAATTAATAAGAAATGAAGAAATAATAATATTTATGAGCATTCACTAAAAAAGGTTCTTTAGAGATTTAATCATTTTTAGTGTTCAGAAATCTTAAAATGTTTCAAATATAAATAATTTCAAATTTAAATGTACAGATAAAAAGTTGAAAAGTTGAAAACTAGCATAAAACTGTTGATTCATTATTATTCATGGGATACCATTTTTTGTGGATTTCGTGGCTATAGATGAACCATGAATATAAATTATCAACGAAGAACAAATGTTCTTAAGGCTTGTTGCAGACTGGCTAAACCACTACACATAATATCCATGAAAATACAACATTTTTTCAATCCAAAAAATTGTGTTCCCAAGAAAAAATTGAATCCACATTAATCAAAAGAACTACAAATATAAAAAGCATGACTCTTGAGTATGTGCAATAGAAGCAATGGCAGTTGTAAAAGAACAGAAATCTGAAAGTCTTTACCATGACAAATGCATTTAATGCCAAGTTACAGTAAATGGATCAGGTCACAGATTTTAATAAGATTTTGCATAAAACTGAAATACGTTTAACTTGATCGAATAATTGAAAAAAATAATGCATTTACCTCTTTTATTTCTTTTAGATTCCAGTCTCACTGATGAGTTTTATGTAGAAGTGTGCCATAGCAAATTATAAGCCTGGTATTTTTGATGAGTTTTTGTATAGAAAGCACATAAAATGGGTGAAAACATTCTTACAATTGTCTAAAAATCATCAAATCTCCAAAACCAATAAACAGATTTTTCCTAAAAATTGATGTGTTGTTGCCACATGTTGTGGTATTTTTTCACCAAGGTCACCACTTTCACTTATATGTATACCCCAAAAATAAAGGAGTAGGTCCGGGTAAGGGCCGATTTTGGCCTCAAAAATCAGGTTCATCTGATGAAAGATTTTGGACACTTTTTAAACACTTATGTGTCTACTTCAGTCAATTCAGTTAGTTTATGTGAAAGATTTGAACTGATTTAGTCATGAAAGAAGCTCAAATTCAAGCTTAAATATGAAAAATCTATCAAATATGCCATAATATGTCACTTTTCAGATGGTTTTTGTCAAAAATGAAAGTGGCCACATCCGTGTTCATTCTCAACCTTTATATATGTTATGTATTATCATCAAATACAACTTACATGTAAATATTAAGAATGAACACAAATGCGGCCACTTCCATTTCAGACGGAAACCGTCTAAAAATTAACCAAAATGCAAAATTTCGAAGATTTCAGTAATTTAGCATGACTTAATGATGCTAGTACCCAAACATGTGCATTGTATTGTCAAAAACAGCCCATATTTATGTAACAGAAGTATTCTTCTTTCCAATAAATAGCTAAAAATTTATATTTTAACAATTTTGTAAAACTGCTATATTTTGAGGCCAAAAAGGGGTCTTACTGGGCCTACTCCTTTGGTGACCATATGATTGTTTCACATCATTCAACTGTAAATTTATCTGGCAACGACCATAGATTATTATGAAAAATCTATTCTGGATGAAGCAATATACATTTTTAAAGATAATTTTGACAAAGTTTTTAATAGATTTTGCCTACATTCTTCACAAATGTTGAACTATTTTAATAATTTGCATTCAATAGAGTCCTAGCAAGTTTATCTGTTAAATAAATCATTTTTTTAGATTTTTAGTTATGGGTTAAAAATTGGCCAAATTTGTATCCAAAATAGGACGAAAGTTTTTTTCTGTTACCTAAAGAAAATCTATTTGCAGCTCAAGGGAAAGGCATGCATGGTGGGATAAGGAAACTGGTTTTGCAAAAGAAAATGATATTTGTTTCAAAATTAAACATATTTATATTATTTTTTGGTTAATGGCATTATGTATAGGATAAAAAGGTAAGGGACCTTAAATTTTTTTTATGGGAAATTTTATATTTCAGCACTTTCCTTATCTTCCCTAAAATTAAGATCAACAACTTTTCAATTATAAAGGATCTTAACCATAATTCAGGGTAAAATATCATTACTGTGTCAGACTTTCATTGTTAAAGCTGATTATTAAGTCAATAAACTCAGGATGGAGAATAAAATAGATTTGTAGACAGACATATACATTGTTAAGTAAAGCATACTTTGGATGTATATTTATTTTTTTCCATGTTTTTTTTTCCTGATTAGAATTAACAGCACAACATATTTTATATTTCTTCAGCTATTTGATACACAATAAGTCAATGCAGAGATAATTCAATGAATAATGTATGAGAACATGCGTTTGTCATTTTCTAATTTGTGTTTGTACATGTGTATGTCATTTTCTAATTTGTATTCATATTTCTTCGTGCATGTTCACATTTGTAGCATAAAAATGTATACACTGAAAATTATCAATTTTTGGCAGCCTCCATTTTTGATAGTAACAGTGTGTTTAATGATACATGTTGTGTATTTACTTCCATTGTTTTATAAAATAAAAATTTGATTCCTTAGAAGAAAAAAAATTGAGGATATTGCTATTCTTAATTTTACTGTAAGGCACATAAAATAAGTACACAGCAAAATAATTCTTTACAGTATTTTGCTTTTTGAATATTTAAAATGAAGTTGCAATTACTGTGAAAACAATTAATTTAATTTGAAATCCACTAAGGGCTGTTCCATAAAAACATACATGGGACACAGGGAAGGCACTTCCAAATCTCAGTTGGGTATCATCTTTCTTTATGCATAGTGGAAATATAAATGAAATTCTATTTTGCCTCTATAGGTGGTTACCCAATTTTTGAAGTGCCTTCCCTGGGTACCATGCATGTTTTAATGGAACAGCCCTAACATCTTAAAATGAAAAAAATTGCTTTCAGTGATATCATATTAATTTTTTCAAAAATATATCCTACCAATTCCACTACGAAATGTAGAAAAGCAACACTGATTTTTTTAGCATATGCAACAAAATTAACCAAGTTTAGACTGAAATGGAGAAATATGTAATATTTCTGTTGAAATAAATGGTTTATAAATACAATTTCAGTATATTGGTTTAAATAGTATTTCATGAACATGTATCTGGTTTAAATTCCTGTTTTTTCTTGAAATTGAGTAATTAAATTTTAGCATCATTTAATAGTTTTACTTTTTCAGTCTGTTAATTGCTGCATAACGATGATCTAATGGCATATAACATATTCTTATTGCCATTTACCTTTCTCTGCTTCTAGTTCTTTTGCTGTCTGTTGTTGAGCTGGTTGTTCCTGAGCTGGTTGTTGTTGTTGACCTGGTTGTTCCCCTGCATTTGGAGGCTGAATCTGCTTCTGACCTCCTGCACCTGCTGCTTGCCTGTAAAAGAGAAACTCTATACTGTCAGGGGACATAACCTATAATTTTGTATCTCTTTCCTTGAGATCAGTGAGTGAAATATGTCACAATTTATCAATTGATGTGCGATCATTTCAAAAATCATTTACACATGAAAAAATCCACAAATATTTCTGCCAAAAAAATCACTGTATTTTAAAAGAACAGAGTTCCAATGTCCCCCGCATTGCACATATTTTATCTATCCAAGGATCAAGGGCAATAACTAAAAAATACACTTTTTTTCTTTAAAACTGTTGATAAATATCTTAAAGAAATGAATGCTTCAGAGCAAATTCAATGTGATTTCCAATCTAATTAATATTTCCAAGGGGCATAACTCTTTTAAAACATTTGATCAGCACTGATTTTCAAACTCGTCCAAGACATTGCTGCTATAAACCTACAATATAAGTTTCATAAAAATCTGGCAAGAATTGTACACATGAGGGTGCCAACGATGCAATTTTCCATATAATTAATGTTTCCAAGGGCATAACTGTTTTAAAAATAGTTGATCGACACTGATTTTCGAACTCATCAGAGACATTACTAATATAAACCTTCAATATACGTTTCATAAAAATCTGGCAAGAATTGTACACATGAGAGCACTAACGATGCAATTTTCCATATAATTAATGTTTCAAAGGGGCATAACTCTTTTAAAAATAATTGAACTACACTGGTTTTTCGAACTCATCCGAAACATTGCTGGTATAAACCTACAATATAAGTTTCATAATAAACAGCTGCGCCATGAGCGCATGATACGCCCGACGTCTTGTGTGTGAATTTTTATGCAATAAGCATAAATAGTTTCTGACATACGGCGTGACATGCGAAAACCCCCCTTTTTTTTTTACAAAAAACTCAAAATCTCTAAAATAAAATTTTGAATCAAAACCAAAAAGTATACAGATCTTAAGATTAATATAACTAAGAAGTGTGTAAAATTTTAAGCAATAATCATAAATCGTTTTTGAGATACGGCATGACATGTGAAAACCCCCCTTTTAAAAAAAAAAAATCAATATCTCAAAAATAAATTTTTTAATCAAAACCAAAAAGTATACAGATCTTTAGATTAATATAACTAAGAAGTGTGTAAAATTTTAAGCAATAATCATAAATCGTTTTTGAGATACGGCGCGACATGTGAAAAACCCCTCCCCCTTTTTTTAACAAAATACTCAATATCTCTAAAATAAAATTTTGAATCATCACCAAAAAGTATACAGATCTTAAGATTAATATAACTAAGAAGTGTGTAAAGTTTTAAGCAATAATCATAAATTGTTTTTGAGATACTGCGCAACGTGTGAAAAAAAAACACACGCCTGTTTTAGTTACTAAGTCCCGTAACTCAAAAAGTTTTAATCTTATTTTCACCAAAAAGTATACAGATCGTTTGACCATCATAAGAAACAACTATGTTAAGTTTCAGGAAATTTGGATAAGTCATTCTCAAGTTACAGTGCGACATGTTTACGCCGGACAGACAGACGGACGGACGCCGGACATTTGTATACCATAATACGTCCCGTCAAAAATTTGACGGGCGTATAAAAATCTGACAAGATTTGGACACATGAGAGTGCTAATGATGCAATTTATAATTAATTTTTCCAAGGGCATAACTCTTTTAAAAGTTATTGATTGGCACTGATTTTCGAACTCGTCCGAAACATTGCTGATATAATTCTATGGTATAAGTTTTAAAAAAATCTGGCAAGAATTGTATATGTGAGAGTGCTAATAAGACCAGAGGGACGGATGCCCAGTATTTCTATGTCCCTCGCAACACATTGCAAGGGGGACAACAACAAATAATATGGATGAAATGTAGTAAAATATTCCTTGGTATCTGCACCATGTGACTCTAATTAATAATAAAAGTTCAGTGCCATTAATACATATTGTAATTTCTGAAAATCAGTTTAAGAAAAAATGTATTAAAAAATAAGCTATGCCATGAATGCATTATACACTTGTGCTGCTCCGATAAGCGAGATTGGGCTTTGTATGTAAATTTCATATCATTACTGATTGAAGAAAAACCCTTGTGTAAATAGTCCATAAAGATTTGTGAAAGTACACTCGTGCTACATTTATCATGAGACATTTGAATAAATTGCTTCGCCGAGCGCAGCTGGATACTACCGCAGAGGTCCAACCCTGAACAGTTGGGGCAAAAATGGACACAATATTAGTGCTTGATACAGGTCTGAATTTGGATTGAAATTAAATGTTTGACACATAATAGGTTTCTGACACAGAATAACTGTAGTCAAAGAGCTTAGAATTGGTTATATGATTTGAATTTATTCAATTTTTTGCTTTTGTGCAATTCACTATGCTGCGAATTGCCCCCCCCCCCCCCTCAAAAAAATGTACCCCTTTTTTTTTGCTTTTGTGCAATACACTATGCTGTTGCAAATTGACCCCCCCCCCCCCAAAAAAAAAAAAAAAATCACCCCCCTTTTTTTTTGGCAAAATTTTTTTTTTCACCCCATCCCCCTTTTTTTTTGCAAAAAGAAAACAATATTTGAAAAAAATTTCTTTTTAATTTCTGAAATCTGTAACGAGAAAAAAAAATTGTTCCCCCCCCCCCCCCCCCCCCAATTTTTTTTTCACCTGCCCTCCCCCTCCCCTTTTTCAAAAAAAAAATCTTTCCCTCAAGATATGGTCATTATCTCAACTCAAATTTCCAATGGAGTTTGCAACCATAATTACCCATTTAAATACATCATAAAAGTCTTAAAATAGAAAATGACATACATAATCATGGCTTAAATTAATATATCTTTAATCAGCATTTTTATAAGTAACTTCTAAAAATAAATTGACAGCTAAACACCTCAAGACAATACCAAATTTCTTTATACATAATTTTAAAGCAGTGTAAGGGAGGTAATCCAAATTTAACATTGTACTTTAAAGTGATTGTCCATTAACAAGGAAACCCTTGTTTTTCCCCCTTTTTTGCCCCTAATTCCTAAATGGTTTGAGCCATTTTGAGCCCTCCCCAAAGCCAATCCTAACCATCCCTTTGTGGTATGGAAACTTGTTGTACAATTTCAGAGAGATCCATACACCGTTCCACAAGTTATTGTCTGAAAACTAGAAAAATGCTTATTTGGGCCCCTTTTTTGTCCCCTAATTCCTAAATTGTTAGGACCATAACCCCCAAAATCAATCCAAACCTTCCTTTTGTGGTTATAAACCTTGTGTTTAAATTTCATAGATTTCTATTCACTAATACTAAAGTTATTGTCCGGAAACCAAGTGTCTTCAGGCGACGATGACGATGTGATACCAATATACGACCACAAAATTGTTTTGCGGTCATATAAAAATTGCCCAGTTTTTGGCTATCATAGTCTTACAACTCTTGAAAATCATCAAAACCAAAATCCTTAGTCCCTGTTGAGGAAGCTAAACAGCATGTATAAGTATGCCCTCTGCAAATAATTCAAGGGCACCTCTCCCCCCACCCCCCAAAAAAATTTATAGCATCTGCCAAATCGTATTTATTATATGAATAAAAGAGGATGTGGGTACATGTCAATTAGAGGAAAACTAACAAATGTTTCTCTTCTGTTGCTGCACTACTTACTGTACTTGGATCTTCAAATCTTCTCCAATATCAATCCCAGAATTGATCAACTGTTGCATAGGTGCTGCTCCAACTTTCTGGAACATTTCTGAATATAACTTCTTAACCTGTTCTCTACATTGGCTGAAAAAAATCATTAAAAAGTGTATTCCAAACTGCAGTGAATTGTTTTTCACTTAAAATGAGTTGAAAAAGTGCAAAATGTAAAATGTTTCACATAGTATTAATGACAAAAATTACACATAGTTCTAGGGGAAAGAAAAAAATGATTTTATTGGACAAATAAAATGCTCCGCAGGGCGCAGCTTGATACGACCGCAGAGGTCGAACCCTGAACAGTTGGGGGAAGTATGGACACAACATTCAAGCTTGATACAGCTTTGGATTTGGATTGTGATTAAATATTTGACACAGCATAGGTTTCTAACACAGATTGAATGTGGTCTAAGAACTTAAAAATTTTAAATTGGACATTCACCTATTATGGTCCAATATCCAAAATCTAAATACATGGTTAGATTCAGCATATCAAAGAACCCCAAGAATTCAATTTTTGATGAAATCAAACAAAGTTTAATTTTGGACCCTTTTGACCTCAATGTGGACAAAGTTAATAACGGGGCCCAAAAATCAAAAATCTAAATACATGGTTAGATTCAGCATATCAAAGAACCCCATATATTCAATTTTTGTTGAAATCAAACAAAGTTTAATTTTGGACCACGATTTGGACCAACTTGAAAACTGGGCCCATAATCAAAAATCTAAATACATGTTTAGATTCAGCATATCAAAGAACCCCATATATTCAATTTTTGTTAAAATCAAACTAAGTTTAATTTTGGACCCTTTGGACCTTAATGTAGACCAATTTGAAAATGGAACCAAAAATTAAGAATCTAAATACACGGTTAGATTCGGCATATCAAAGAACCCCAATAATTCAATTTTTGATGAAATCAAACAAAGTTTAATTTTGGACCCTTTTGACCTCAATGTGGACAAAGTTGATAACGGGGCCCAAAAATCAAAAATCTAAATACATGGTTAGATTCAGCATATCAAAGAACCTCATATATTCAATTTTTGTTGAAATCAAACAAAGTTTAATTTTGGACCCCGATTTGGACCAACTTGAAAACTGGGCCCATAATCAAAAATCTAAAAACATGTTTAGATTCAGCATATCAAAGAACCCTAAGAATTCAATTTTTGTTAAAATCAAACTAAGTTTAATTTTGGACCCTTTGGACCTTAATGTAGACCAATTTGAAAACGGAACCAAAATTTAAGAATCTAAATACACAGTTAGATTCGGCATATCAAAGAACCCCAATAATTCAATTTTTGATGAAATCAAACAAAGTTTAATTTTGGACCCTTTGGACCTCAATGTGGACCAATTTAAAAACGGGGCCCAAAATCCAAAAACTAAATACACGGTTAGATTCAGCATATTAAAGAACCCCATGAAATCAAGAATAAAACCCCATTGAAATTGGTCAAGAAATAAGCAATTTATAGGAAGTATCTTCTTTTGCACAATCCTGTGCTATTAAATATTTCTTGCTATTGCGCAATACTGTACAATTGACAATTTCTTGCTATTGCGCAATATTGTGCTATTGGATATTTCTTGCTATTGCACAATACTGTGCAATTGAAGATTTCTTGCTATTGCGCAATACTGTGCAATTGAAGATTTCTTGCTATTGTGCAATACTGTGCAATTGAAAATTTCTTGCTATTGCACAATACTTATTATATAATAATTTACACATCCTGTTTGGTGTGTATCTCCTACCATATCATTATTATTTGATTTTAAATATAAATCAGAAATAACCAACTTAAAATGGAAAATTTTAAAAGAAACAAAAAAGGAAAAAAAGAAAATAAAGGAAAAAAAAATAAATCCCCCCCCAAAATTTTTTGAACCCCCATTATGATTCATCACCCCCAAACTCAATCCCAGCCTTCCCTTTGTGGTATGGTACCTTGCAGTACAATTTCAGAGAGATCCATACACTTGAACACAAGTTATTGTCTGGAAACTAGAAAAAAATGTGTTTTTTGGCCCCTTTTTGGCCCCAAATTCCTAAACGTTTAGGGCAATTACCCCCAAACTCAAACCCAGCTTTCCCTTTGTGATATGGAACCTTGTAGTACAATTTCAGAAAGATCCATACACTTACACACAAGTTATTGTCATGAAACTAGAAAAATGCTTGTTTTTTGCCCCTTTTTTGGCCCCTAATTCCTAAAATTTGGAGGCAATTACCCCCAAAATCAATCCCAGCATTCCTTTAGTGATATGGAACCTTGTGGTACAATGTCAGAGAGATCCATACACTAACACACAAGTTATGTCTGGAAGTTACAAAAATGCTTATTTTTGGCCCCTTTTTGGCCCCTAATTCCTTTACTGTTATTACCATAACCCCCAAAATCAATCCCAACCTTCCTTTTGTGGTATTGAACCTTGTGGTAAAATTTCATAAAGATCCATTCACTTAAACTAAAGTTAGAGTGCGAAAACCAATGTGTCTTCGGACGACGCCGGACGACGACGACGACGCCGGACGACGACGACGCCAACGTCATACCAATATACGACCACAAAAATTTTTTTGCGGTCGTATAAAAACTACTGGGTGTTCTTGCACCCTGAAAAGTTGCTTTTTCATAAAAATAATTTTATATAAATAACAACCAGGCCATAAATTGTACTATACCCTTAACATATCCAATTTTCTAAAAAAAAATAATATTTAAATGTCTTGGTTTCTGCCTATTTAAATGTTTATAGTTTACCTGTCACAGTTCTGTGTTGAAGCAGCTGCAGGTTGACTTTTAAGTTTATCAACTTCATCTGAAAACAAACATAACTGATAAAGTACACAATAAATTCTATGTGAATGCATGTAAAACTGTTGTTTATATATTATTAATGATATGTAAAGGGTTCTCCATGCTGCCAGCAATAAAATGGTGAAGAATAAAATTGTATTAACATGACTAATATTAGTATAAACAATTGTCAAAGATGGCAGCAAGTTATATACGGAATATATATACTCGGTAGCTCACAAATGATCCTCCAGCAAAAATTTAGGGTATACAGGAGGTCAATTAACAATGAATGTGAAATGCATTATACAGTGTGAACCATGCTCCCATGAAGCTTGACAAGAAATCTCAGGAAGCTCTGATTTGTTTTTCCACAGGAAAATGTGACAAAACATTTCCAAGGAGGACATTTTGTTTAAGAATATACTCTAGAGAATTGAATGTTTTAGATAGAAGGGTCAAACTTAATGCCCACGTCTCATAGCCGCAGGGGCATAAAAAGTAAAGCAAGTGACTTTCAATTTTTGCATGAAGCTTACATTTATGTTGATATTAGAGGTACTTAAATAATAAGCAAACTTTTGGTAGAATCAAAGTGAATGTGTACATTAAAGTACATTTCATGTATTTATATCATCTACATATATGTACAATGTATTATTAAATACTTGGTTTACCATGTTTACTGTGGATAATTTCAGCAGATTGCCTTTTGAAGGTTTCATTTCTTTTTTTCATCAAATATAATGTATAACCCTTAAGACATTTCAGAGTAACTTCAAAGGATTAGGTTTGATAAGACCCCAATATATATGGCCCTATAGATATCTACATTTATCTTACCTCCTATACATTTCTAGGAACATGATTGGTTAAAAGCAAACCGTGTGGAGACAGTGTATATTCCATATTGGGTTAGTAGGCAGGGCTTATTTCAATACACAGTTAGTAGTGGTGTTACGTCCCTTTATAACAACAACACAGTGTTGAGGAAAAATCTTAAAGATTTCAAGACGAAGAAATTGATGATGAACGATTGAAATAAATCCATAAAACACATTTAAAGTAACAAGTCGTTATTGTTGGCATTTGTTTTTGTATAGACCAATGGAAGTAGGTTCTTAAAACTAACAGTATTGAAGACTTGATCACTTTGATAAGCCACTAGTCTAAATACCACATGTTAAGATAGTCGGTAAGATAAATTCGTTACATAGTGTGCTAGTGATCTAATGCGATGATTCTTATAACAAATTTTGGTGTACTTATCCGACTCCAAAATGCAGTTTGTCAAACCATGTTACCTGACCCCATATATATCGTATTAGGTCACTAGCACACATGTAACGAATTTATCTTATCGACTATCTTAACGTGGTATTTAGACTGGTGGCTTATCAAAGTGATCAAGTCTTCAATACCGTTAGTTTTAAGAACCTACTTCCATTGGTCTATACAAAAACAAATGCCAATAACAACTTGTTAGCCTAAAAGTATTAGCCTAAATGTGTAAATGTCAATGCTTTATATGAACAGCTGGACAGGAATATTTCTACATATGTATCTTTTCCTTACATGTCAATTTGTCAACTCGAAACGCTTATTATTTTGAAACAATGTACTGAAAATGGATCCTTACCAAACTTACTCCTTGGTATTTCTTTAAGTATCTATATTCAAGGTTTCCCTCTACTCGTTTTTTAATCATGACAATTATCAATGAATCCAAAATTATCTTGTGCTCACCTTTGACTGCACTTAACTGAGATTGGATACCAGAATTGTTAGTCTCACATTGTTGCTGAAAAAAGAAATAGAATACATTGTATATCATCATTTAAATACATGTACATACATTCCATACACATATATATATGTAGATAACATTCACAAAAGATATGGCTGAGGCATAATTAAATGAGGTGCAAGGTGTACATAATATGTCTTCATGGTGTTGGATCAAAGTGATTAGAAATTAATCTTAATTACATGTACAATTAATGTTCCTACATGTATTTATATTGTAAAGAATCATGAATGGCAATTACCTGACCATATAAGCATGCCCTATGAAGTTAATTTGATGAAGTAAAACAGTACACACATATATATCATATATATATGTACATGTACATGTATGTTCATGTTGTACTGTACAGCAGATTTATTTATTTTTTCGTAGGTACCAATTTTCATGGTTTGAGGAAACCTTTAATTTTATATTCATTGATACTTGATTTTGTTGTTTTGTCAAAGTTTGTATACAATCCTATGAGAAATTTATACTTCGTTGAAAATTTAAATTTGTGGTTCATTTAAAATTTACACCCACGAATTCAATGATAATTGGAACATGTACCCAATGCCACAGAATAATAAGTAATTAATCCATGATATATACTGTACATGTATTATTACTATATAAACATAATGCAGGATAAAAGATTTTCAATGTTGTTAATTGTACATGTGATATAGAGTGATTTCTGATATTAGGAAGTGAAATCACTCTGAACTATGACCTTGTAACATGACATGCATTCCCCATCATGAAGATCATCTAAGATGATAGTCAATAAAATGTGTAAACTAAAGAGTATCTTTATACCTTTTATTCTCCACTTAAAACATGATGTCATTAAAATGGATATCCTGGATTTACATTTTATCATTCTTTATATAAAAATAAGAAGATGTGGTATGATTGCCAATGAGACAACTCTCCACAAGAGACCAAATGACACAGAAATTAACAACTATAGATCACTGTATGTACAGCCTTCAACAATGAGCAAAACCCACAGTATGGTCAAATTCCCAAAAAGCCAATTCTTGATATATTTATTGAAAGCTTTCATTTTGTATATATATAAATACAAGTCTAAATTGAAAACAACGTTCAAACCTATTATTGCGTTGGATAAAAACTACAATTTTTATACGTGTGCATGCAAAACAAATTTCTATATATATATAAGTCTAAATTGAAAACAACGTTCAAACCTATGATTGCGTTGGATAAAAACCGCAATTTTTATACGTGTGCATGCAAAACAAATTTCTTGGTAGAGGGATCTAAATACAGCACAAACAACATTTTCCAAAAGACCAAAAAAGTGAAAAAGTATATTTAAACAAAACGCATTTGACCAACAGGTCGAAATACAGATGTTCTTTAACCCTGCTGACTGCCATTGGCGATTATATATATATATATATATATATATATATCATCAAGTCTAAATTGAAAACAATGTTCAAACCTGATTGCGTTGGATAAAAACCGCAATTTTTAACACTGCTGACTGCCATGGCGATTGCCAAATAAACGGATCACCAGATGTAACAAAATGGATCTTAATTATTAATTTAATACCAAACAGAAAACAATAAACTTGCAGAAAAGATTGTATACCGCTAACATGAGGTGCAAAAATTGGTACACCATATCCAGATTTCGAAATTAATGTCTCTTCAGTGATGTTAAGAATCGAAACGGTATTTGGAAGGCCATATAATTTACCTCAATTTAGGATTGACTCTTGAATTTTGTGAAGAGTCATCATATTATATTAACTGTAATATCATGGTGCTTTAACACCCTCTGGGTATTTTGTATCCTTGTTACAACATTTGACATGTGTAGTCAGACATCTTAAGTCTGCTTCGATATTGTAATTATGAACATCAGTCTTTACTTAGATTTAAAAAATTTGTTGGTACATGTATATACATGATATATGTACACTGTATTAAAAGTACTTATGTATTGACAAAAATAAAATATTTAGTTACATACATTGTATGTAATCAATAAAGACAACATGTGTTAAAAAGGAAATATAAAAGTGTTCATATTTGATTAAACTAAAGAACAGCAGCTGTACTTACAAATATATATAAAAATATGTATGTTCATTTAATACGTTTCTGGCTCATTTATCTTTCTTTTTTTGTGGTTATATTAATGCCAAGCCTATTGTAAAAATCTTGTTCCATACATGTAGTTGAGAAAAAAAAAGAATCTACATGTATATAATTCATTAACATTATTACTAAAGATGCCTCTAACATGTCTAACAACTATCTTCTATTGTTTTTAAGTGTTGAGCTTTTCATATTTTATAATTCATTGTATATGTTGTAAAAGAACTACTAGCAACTATCACCATGGAAAAAAACCAATAAAAGCATAATATAATAAAGCTGCATTACATGTACTCATAATGTACATTTTGCTGGGTTTTACCAAGTAATACTGATTATAGATATGGAAAGATGTGGTATGAGTGCCAATGAGACAATTCTCCATCCAAGTTACAATTTATAAAGATAAAATAAACATGTGAAAGCTCTCTCACAGGCAAACAACCCATAATTGAAAAATTGCTTCGCTGAGCGCAGCTGGATACGCCCGCAGAGGTCCAACCCTGAACAGTTGGGGCAAAAATGGACACAATATTCAAGCTTGATACAGGTCTGAATTTGGATTGTAATTAAATATTTGACATGTTATAGGTTTCTGAATAAATGTAGTCAAAGAACTTGAAATTGGTTATATGAATTGAATTTATATTCAATTAAAGATTTCTTGCTGTTGTGCAATACACTATGCTGTTGCGCAATACTTAGTAAATCTGTTGTCAGACTATAAACAAATAAAATTTATAAAATTCTAAAGGGAGCTTACATCAATAGATATAAACAATTCACCAACGTTTCATAAGAATTGCTGAAAGCATTTTTGAGTTATGGTCTGAAAACTGGAAAATCCCCCCTTTTTAATGAATAAAACCCCATAACTCGGAAATATAAAATCTAAAATTTATAAAATTCTAAAGGGAGCTTACATCAATAGACATCAACAATTCATCAAAGTTTCATGAGAACTGTTGAAAGCATTTTTGAGTTATTGTCTGAAAACTGGAAAATCCCCCTTTTTTTTATGAATAAAACCCCATAACTTGGAAACGTAAAATCTAAAATTAATAAAAATCAAAAGGGAGCTCATGTCAATAGATATAAATAATTAACCAAAATTTCTTGCAAGTTGGTGAAAGCATTCTTGAGTTATTGTCCGAAAACTGAAAAATCCCCCTTTTTTTAATGAATAAAACCCCACAACTCGGAAACGTAAAATCTAAAATTTATAAAAAACGAAAGGGAGCTCACGTCAATAGATATAAACAATTCACCATAGTTTTATGCAAATTGGTTAAAGCGTTTTTGAGTTAATGTCCGACATGTTGACGACGGACGGACAGACGGACAGACGGACAGATGGACAGACGGACAATGGTATACCATAATACCTCCCGTAAACGGGCGTATAAAAATATAAGGGCATACACCACAAGCACGGGGACACATTCTACTGCATCCACACAGCACAAGCAACAAACAGTGCAATAAATAGATATAGGAAGATGTGGTATGAGTGCCAATGAGACAATTCTCCATCCAAGTTACAATTTATAAAGATAAAATAAAGCATACATGTAACTAGGTAATATTTAATACTACACTAGTCTGAATTAAGTGATATGTATAAAAAATGTATATTTTAATTCATACGTATATACATGGACATGTTACTGAGACTACTTCAACATGCACATGTAGTCTCAGTTTATGAATTCACTTGTTTGAGGCTCCTAGTATAAAGTGCATTAATTTGTGAAAGCATTGGTCAAGCAACTCTAAGAAAAATTATGTACATTTGAACATGAACAGAAAACGTATAAATTTTCTGAATAAGTTTATAGATCATCCCCATAAACTTTTATTAAATCCTATTCTGTCTAAATTGGTCAGACTGTTAGCATGAGTCCAAATTTATTGTTTTTTTTAACAAATAAACTATCTAATATTTAGAGTAAACAATTAATTTTATGTAAGGAAAATGATTGATTGATTGATTAGTGTTTAACGCAACTTTCAACACTATTGTGCTATTTCGTGGCTGTCAGTTTTTATTGATGGAGGAAGCCGGAGAGCACGGAGAGAACCACAGACCTTCAGTAGGAAAACTGACAATCCTAGTCAATTAAGATTGAAGTCTAGTGCACCTGCCCCGTGCAGGATTCAAACTCTAAGGAAAATGACTAATCAACAATGTTTGTCCATTGTGTATTTTTTTTCTAAAAAAGCTTACAATTGTAAGTGTTTACACATTTTAAACAGCTTTAATAACATATACATCACTAATTAATAAGTAATTATTCAGATAATAACAAAGACTTTTAATATTAAAATAATAAGCTTTTCATCTTTTCAAAGTGTGGGTGACATGTCCCCTTAAGGTGTCTATTTAACAATAAGATTGTACAGGTATAGCGATTTAATTTTACAATTCACTAATGACACTACACCAAAATATTTTTTTAAACTTTGAATTGATTCAAACACAGCTGGGAAATAAACATGAGAAAACATGGCATAGACAGAAATGGAAATTTTATCCTCTGAAAATGATTCTTTTAAAATATTCATCTGTATAAAAAGTATATATTTAGCAATAAATCTGATAATACTAAGAAACTGCAATAATTCTTTACTATTCAGCTGTGTATGAATAAGCTCAAGAATTCTTATTACCCAGTATTTCTCTTTTCTGGGATCGGCCAGAGTTTTGGCCAGCCCGGGAAACACCTAGGTAATACTTTGCCAACCCTGTTTCTACATGAAAGTTCATTTTCTCTTTTATTGCACAAAATATAACGAAGACAGACACCATTTATATCACATTATTTCGGAATCATGTCACAATTTCATTAACTTAAATTCCCAAGAGAAATTGCTATGGCTGATGTCTTGTGAGAACTTAACTGTATTAAAAGAGTTGTGTATATTCCTGGTTAAACACTGCAAATAGCAGATTTATATGACATGTTTCGCATAATTAATAATTGTTGTTTTTAAAAAAAAAAAAAAAAAAAAGTAATAATAATTATTTGTTAATTGACCGGATTCAGTTTCTCTTTTTATTTTGTTCATCTGCTTCTGACACGGGGAGGATTGCTGGTATTGCCTATCGCAATCAACAGTATATCCTAGAGCACCGTCCCTTGGTGTCTCCTGCAGATGAGCAAATTTCCATCTTTATAGATAATAGGTTAAGGTTGATCAAACTTTATTATTAATACTTTTTTTTTTTTTAATTTTTACACTGCTGGACATATGGAAGGAAGGAAAAAAAAAAAAAAAAATACTCAAGAGTACTTTTAATGTATTTTTGTTATTAATACTATTTTCATTGTCTATTATAATATCTGTCACGTTATATACTGTACAATGTCTCATGTTTGTTGCTTATACTATCATAATTGTTAATTGTAAATGCCCCCTGTGGGACCATGATTGGAATAATAAATATTTATTTATTTATACATATGAAGGGAAAAGTCACAGGAAAATTATCATAACCCAATAATGTCACATGATCAGCAACTTTTTTTTCTACATCTAAATGTACAAATGTGTGATATTTTTCCTGTTTACCTTTGCAATGTACATTGTATTTAAAGGAAGAAAATCATTTCTTAAATTGCCTGTTGCAAGGCTAAATTTCTGTCCCTATCCAATATACCCTATATATAAAAATGTACAAGTAGCTATATCACAGACACCTGCACGGGCTGCTCTGGCTCCAAAAAAGTTGGAGCCAGAAAAATCGCCAGCTGCTATATTTTGTCACCAGTTTTGAAAACTTGGAGCCAACTTTAGAGCCATTTAGAGTCTTTATTTTCTCTACCAAAATTTGAAACCATGTTCAATTTAAATTTCTTACACACTGTACTAATGACAATGTACATTTTGTAGTTAAATACATGAAAAAAGCATGTGTACTTTTATTTTCTTTGTCAGTATTTCATAATTAGATATAGGAAGATGTGGTATGAGTGCCAATGAGACAACTCTCCATCCAAGTAACAATTTATAAAAGTAAACCATTATGGGTCAAGGTACAGCCTTCAACACGGAGCATTGGCTCACACCGAACAGCAAGCTATAAAGGGCCCCAAAAAATTACTAGTGTAAAATCAATCAAACGGGAAAACCAACGATCTAATCTATATAAAAACGAGAAACACGTATGAACTACATAAACAGACGACAACTACAGTATACAAATAAAATAATACATGTATAACAATAAAGAATAAAACAAAGCAGCTATGTTTTTATTTGATTGTGTATGTCTCCAAACGGGACTAATGGGACTTATACATGTATAATGAGATGACTCTATTGATCATTTATCATCAATCTTCCTGTCCTTATAATTAGCTTATGGTCTGTACATGCTACAGAATACAGAAAATGTTTTTAAATTAAAAAAAAAGAATAGAAAAAATGGGCAATGAAGAAAAGAGAATAATGGGTGTTTAAATATACAGAATAGTAAAAGTTTGTATAAAAATTAAAGAATAAAGAAAATGATGACCCTAGCACCCTACCCATGTTGCTACCAAGACCCTCTTAAATTTGCCCATAACTCAAAAGACCTCCTAAACCTCTAAGTCTGTCAGAAGTATATCTTGAGTAGGTATCCAATACTAGGAAAAAATAAAGTTGAGTTATCTTTCTTTATTTGGGTGTGCTCCTTCATCAGAGGATTATACACAGTTGAGTACTCAGTTTAAGTGAATAAGATCAATGGCGGCCGGATTTGTTATTTTTGTATCATAAGTGAGGGCAGGCAAAGACATATTACGTCTGAGTTTATCATTTTTTTTACGGAATACAAGTAAAACGATGTTTTATAACAAGTTTATTTTGGTTTACTCTTTCTGTCAATACCTTTTCATCATGAAACTAAGGTAAACGTTGCAAATTATTGCCTTATGAAAATTTCTTCAATATGAAATGACAATACTGACTGAACGATTCTATTTGAATGAATTAATGTTGATGATTATTAATGAACCATTGTATAAGCAGAATTACCATTAACAACAACAACAGATTATGACACCTGTTGTAACCGTTGATTAGCTTGGGGTTGTAAACAAAGTCATGAACTTGTCGCCTAGTAAAATCTAATACAATATTTTTTTTTACTTTAACCAATTTAAATGACAATTGATAAATATACTGCTACAGTCAAGAAATGAAAATTTTGACATGGAAAAATGTTGTCGCCAGATAAAATAAAAAATCGCAATTTGAAGCCTAGCGCGGTCCTTGAACTGTCTCATGCAATATTAAATGCCCCACCTGTTTCATGTAATGGTAAAGACCCCTCCCTTTTTCTTAATGGTCTTAATAGTTATCAAAGGTACCAGGATTATAATTTAATATGCCAGACGTGCGTTTTGTCTACATTATAAGAAACTGTCTCATGAAACCAGTGCCAGTGATCTTTTACAGTGTTTATTGTATTAAGAGTAAAAAAAAAACACCAATAATAGAACAGAGTTCCAATTGCAATGTCCCTCATTTTGCACAATGTGTCGCACAGGGGACAAACAGAAACCGCTCACGCTATGGATCATAAATACTGAAATAGAGCATGCAGAGGCAGGTACATTTGTATAATAGAACCAGGGGGGAGCCAAACTAAAGGCAAATAATTTTCATAAAATGTTTAAAAAACTCATGACTCTCTAATTACCAAATTTGTTTCACACTCTTTCTTTGAATTCTCTGCTCGTTCCACATCACCGCCCTTTTTATCAACGTCTTCTTGTAGTTTTTTAATCTCAGAATCTTTAGTGGCAATTCTTTGTTCAATTAATTGGTATTTTCTCTCAATATCTCTTTTACTTTGCTCTTCATTCAATCTTTTCGAGGTCAAAATCCGGATCTGATCTTGTAAATCCATGTTTGTGGCACTTAGGGATCCGTTTGATGATGATAAATTCCAATAATTGAACCCTAAGATGGCTAAAGCCACTAAAAGTCCAATAATTAGAAATGGAGGCGACTTGCTTGGGTTTCTTGCAGCTCCTCTGCCATTTCCTGACATTATGAATGCGTTTTCTGTCTTAAAGTTAATCAAAACAAGAAGTTTCTTCGTTGCCAGCTCGCAAGTGCGTGTCCGGATGTGAATAAGACGGAAGTAGAAATAAAATATTTTTGACGTTCGGTGTTTATTTTGAAAAAAAATTGTGCTGTATTTACCAAGGATTTGTATTGTAGCGAGCCAGGGGCGACTAACCCAACAGACAACCAAATTTTAATCTCTGTATTCCAACCACTTGGAAAAGTATAAACTCTAGACTATTACTGACAAGACTGAATATTCTACTAAATAAATGATGTTGTTCTCCGGCCTGCTTTGATAAAAACCCGGACAATCAGATTATGAATTCAGCTAATGCATGTATATATCCTGGTGAAAAGAACACCAAACAAGTATTGAAGTTTCCATTTTTATTATGTATGCAGTTTCATATACTAGTACATCAAATATGTATTTCACACAGTTTGTAGATTCTACAGCAATTATATAATACCGAAATTTTTTAGCACCTCTCTAAACCAGTCCCGGAGTTCCAAATAAAAAATGTAGGAACTCTATCTTTTGAAAATATGTCACAGTTTCAAAATTGGTACACAAAATACATTATTAGCTAATTGTCTTAAAATTCATGGAAAATAGGAGGTTGTGATCTCAGTCCCATATAATAATCCATGTAGTACTATATAAGGAAATGTACTGATATATATACGAACTTTTACACGTTTGGGGTCAATTCACAACAGCATAGTGTATTGCACAAAAGCAAAAAATTGAATATAAATTCAAATCATATAACCAATTCTACAGTTATTCTGTGTCAGAAACCTATTTTGTGTCAAGTATTTAATTACAATCCCAAATTCAGACCTGTATCAAGCGCGAATATTGTGTCCATTTTTGCCCCAACTCATCTGTTCCCTATAATCGTAATCATAAAAAATTATAAACTTATAAAAATATCATATAACACTAGGTTTCCTGGTCATAAAATTTTGTTTGTTTGTCCTCACCATATATATCTACCAATAAAAAGGCCATAATCAAAAAATGTCATTCTTGCTTCTTTATTAAACAAAAAATCATTTCCATGATTCTGCATTCAGTTAAGTTCTTAGACCACTTTCATTCTGTGTCAGAAACCTATGCTGTGTCAAATATTTAATTACAATCCAAATTCAGTGCTGTATCAAGCTTGAATGTTGTGTCCCGGCATACTTGCCCCAACTGTTCAGGGTTCGACCTCTGCGGTCGTATCAAGCTGCGCCCCAGCGGAGCATTTTATTCAAGTAGTTAATGATTTTATTAAAGTTCTAAAAATAGCAGAGTCACAATATGCACAAAATTACAAAATTAAAAAGGCTTGTATTTGAGATAACGTAAAAGCTAGTACAATTTAAATTACTGCAACTGAAAACAGCCGGATGTTTGATTTCTTGGTAAACAAATGTTTTTGTAGTTTTGATGTGCGTATTTTCAACAGACAGTCAGCGTTCCTTCTATGCGTACAAATCATGAGTGTGTTCTTCTTCGAATCGACTTGTTTCTTTATTCGTTTGAGGCAAATTTCGGTACGGGCTGGCTTCCTAAGTAGAACGAAAATAAGTTAGCATAATCCATTAGCTTCACATTCCTGAATATACTTTTCACTTAGTAATTCAAAGTTTGGTGACTATGTTGATCGCATCGGTACCTTTGAAGATGAATAAATGGTTACCACAGACACAATTTAATCTGCTTCATATCTTGACTTAAAAGACTTAGTAAAAGGCGGTTGAGAATTAAACTAGACAAAAACATGGTTTCAGTTTTCCCATTGCAAACTTGTCATTTTAATCTAGCAAAAAAAAACAGGATATGGAGTATGATGCAATATTCCAGGGTTTGCGTTTCCCATTATGATTTCCTTGCAAGCAGAGTGTTGTAACTATATTGACCCAATGTTTTTTAAAGAAAATCTAAAGTCATCTTAATTTTATTGACTGTTTTTAAATATTTGTGACACAAATAACCACGGATATGTTCCGTTTTGGCGTATCAACAATGTCGTCCTCTAGTCTTTGTTGGTGTCATCACATACAATGCGACTTATTGCCGGATTACATCTCTTAATTCGTATGTTTAATTGAGGCCATCATTATTTGGTTGACCGTTATTGAATATCAGTGTCACCATGGACCATGGATATGTTCCTTTTAACCTAACCTCATAATGCCGTCATCTTTTCTTCATTTGTAACGGTCCAACTTATAAAGCAGAATTTGCTTACCGATTTTTCAGGTTTCTGTGTAGCGGTTCATGGAGACTGGTGTTTGTTCATCTTTTTGATTTAACTTGGAGTTGTCTTTCTTTGACTTATGTTTTTGATTGCTCCTTCGATATCTCCTCATTATTGTCAGCAAATGCTATAGTTAAATACATACTGCATGCCGCGTTTAATTTTGTTCCGCTACTGCGCAATGTTCGAACTTTTATTGTTTGTTTTAACTGGTTCGGTTGTTCTGGGTTCTTCAGTTGTTGAAATTCGTCTACGACATCAATTTCCTCCTAGTTTTGTCATCTTGACATCATGCAAAATTCGGTCATGTTAGATGACGTTACATTCTTCGCATATCATTAGAATAGAATCGTCAATATTTTCCTACATATTGTCTTAAAATCATTTAAGAAACAGATTCGACCATTATGTCTAGTTCGACACAACATTTCTGCACTTTAGATAGTTAAAATTTCATAACAAATTCCGTATTAAGGCTGTCGAGTCTCCTTACTTTCCTGAAGTCCATCGGTTTATTGCCGAGCGTTCGAGCTTCGATCCTTGCTCAGAAGTTGATTTTAAATCTGACAATTGCTTGACAATTTACTCATACAAAACTGTCTCGAGTGGAGAAAATTCGTATCTCGCAAGATTCAGTGGTAGAATCTAAGTATATATATATATATCAGGTTTGTTTTAAACGAAAAGTTCATGAACTTTAATTTCATCAGTGTCTTATACAATGTTAAAGACAAAGGCCACAAGACATCGCAGATAGAATATATATTAACAATAAAATGATTGAAAGGAAACAAAACATGAACAAACAAAAATACAGGACTATCGATTAAGAAACAAAACGAATCTCTTTAAAAGAACAGAAGCCGCCAGACACTACAGATCGAATATATATATTAACAATAAAACAAGTGTGGACACAGATGAATGTGGATAGTATGTTTGGATGTTTGACAGTGTTTTATATGACAAAAGGAGTTCTATGTTTTTCCTACATGTTGTTATTAACTGTATGGCACGATGACAACCAACTTGAGCATGAGGAGTGTTGTTTATTTAATATTTAGATTTTATGTTCAAGACGGGCATGGAAGAGACACTAATTGCATTAATTACCAAATGATTATGATAGAATATTTTCCACATCTTTGATTTTGGATACATTTTGTAGCTAGGAGAGCAACACATAATAGGTTCATTTTTTCATGTGATTTTTTTTTAAATGGGAGATGATATCTTAGAACATGATATCAGGAGGCTGTAATTCAGTGGTTGTCGTTTGTCTATGTGTTACATAATATTTGTTTTTCGTTTATTTTGTGTACATAAATAACATAAATGACTATGTGTTATGGGCTTTGCTCATTGTTGAAGGCTGTACAGTGACCCGTAGTTGTTAATTTCTGTGTCATTTTGGTCTGTTGTGGAGAATTGTCTCATTGGCAATCATACCACATCTTTTTTATATGTATTTGCTCAATATTTGTATGGTTCTATTTATATTACTTTGTGGTGGATTTTAAGTATCATTAGTAAAATATTTTGTTAAAATGTCGAAATTGTTTCTCAGATTAGAAGACATTTATTGGTTTTTAGTAATGACAATGCCTGACATGATGCTTGGGGCTAGAAGAGCTAGAAAGTAAACTTCTGTGTTGTTTTTTATCAATTCTTTAATAACATCTCCTCCAAAGCTGGCAGAAGCAAAAAAAAGTTTTGACCAATATGAAAATGATATCAACAAAAAAACCTTTGTGAGCATGCTTCAAAGACTCATAACTGCTCCAAAAGTAATCTGATAGAATTTTCAAGCATGTCAAGTGGGTATTATGAAAATCTACTTAATATGTCTAAATATCAAAAAAGTTATAGTATTCAATATGAAAAAGGTATTGCAAAATTATTCTCTTTTCAATTTTTTTTTGTTATATGGATACAAATATAAATGATACCAATACAGTATTTGTTGTGGTATGAAAGTGTAGTAATTAACATTTACTGTAACAATGTTAATTCACACAAATTAAGAAATAAACAAATGAATGAAAAATGTTGAACATGTACAATGAAATATAGTTTAAGAAATCAATTAGGCCAGATAGGCCTTATAAATTTTGCCCTTTTTTTTTAACATACTGAATGACCATTTACACTCAGGACCGAGTCTTCAGTAGGTAGTACAGATGTATTAAAACAACCTAGCATCATATTGCTAGTAGCGAGTGTAGCATTGTCGGGTAAATTTGTTCTTTTTTTAAAATTTGGTTAATGGACAAAAAATGTTTGGTTCAAATCATAATAAAATGCTTTTATCTCCTTATTACTTACATTGTACATAGAATGGATACTACCCTGACAAATCCTTGTACATGAGAGTTGTTTGTCAAATCTTTATTTCACAAAGAATGAATTGCATAACAATGAACTGAGCTCAAAGCAAAGCACTTTAATAATACACTTAGACAAAGAGCTCAATCCAGTGATATACTTTGTACTACAGGTCCTTCATGAACATCATATCCACCAAAACCATATCTCACAAACATGCCATACTACATGGTTGGATCAGAGGTCCTGAAAAAGACATGAATTTTATTATCGTATTTTAATTATATATACACAGGTTAAAAGTTATATACTCCAATGGCAGTCTTTCCTGCTAAAATGTCATGTGTAGAATGTGATATACCATTTTTGGGTCTATATGGGTACTGTTCTTTATATTTATTAGGTCATTTTGACACAGCAAAATATATAGAAAATGTTAACTTTGATCTGGAAATTGAGTTCTTTTTCGCAAAATAAACCCACT